TGTTTTGTTACTTTTTGCCAATTCAATCGGTAGCATATTATTTCATACCGAATCGCTCGCTGGCTTATGGGCTTTCGGAATGTGTCCTTTGGCTAATGGGAATTTTCGTGCAGCGAAATATTATGGATTCGCATCTGTGGAACATGTGCAACAATTTGCAAAAGTTCTGGTTACCTCTTTAGCCTTTTTTTGCTATGGAGTATCCAATAGCTCAAAGAAACTCCTGCCGATGGAAACCCAACTCCATGAAGAGATCTCTTCACGAGATCTTTCCATCAGATATATTTACCTTAAAGCTTCTTGTTTAATCTATAAGGTAAAAAACCTTCTGCTGAGTCCACGAAACGGCACTCGCATGACATCTCCATTGGACAATTGAAACCGATGTCAAAACGAGCAACGAGAACGTTGCGAGCCGCCGCGGGTGTACATCTACACCCGATACTCACTTAGCATCTGTCTCTTTTTCTTCATCCTCACCACAACACCACACCAGCAGTTTCATCTCGCTCTCCTCCCCAAGAGGGCGCACACTGCACGAAGTGTGCGAGAGAGAGAGAGGGAGAGAGAATGAGTAAGAGTCTGGAAGGCGTAGTGTCAGGCGTAGTAGCCGATGCAATTTCATTTGTTCTTTCTGGATATAATAACCATCCAGATTCTCTATGATTTGGCCGTTTTCTTGTATCTTCAAAATTTTGGATTCCACAGATTTTTCTCCTTTTTGTGGAAGGAGGGGCGGCGTGGAAACAATTTGGCTACAAACTTGATTCAGTGTTCGCTCTAGCTCTCATAGTCTCTGAAAGCTAGGCGTCACACAAGGCTCCCAGAAGGACAGACAGATGATGACCGAGAATAAATATATAGATACATATATTTTATGGGGTCGAAAACGCATTTTTCTGGGTGTTAAACACATCCACTTCCACGACAAATCTAATGTAACCCTATACTCTTTAAGTATCGGGTATAAAAACCGAGGAGACCCTTAAATACTCTAGAAGTTATTGCCCTCAAAATAGCATTTAATATCTTCATATTCACATAATATCTTCATAGCATCAACTGAAATTGAATAGCAACATTGTACATGTATCTATGAACCTGTCTTCAATTAAGTTGAAAATTCTTGAAACCTACTTCTGACTCAACGAAATCAAATTTCGCAAGACATCTCCATTGCAAAAACTGATTTTCTCAGAACGAAGCATTCCTTAGGAAGGTTTTTTGCAGACTCAACGAAACTTAAATTTCGTATGGTATCTCCATTTCGTAAGTATAAAAGAGTTTTACTGACTTTCCCAATTAAAGTTAGCATACAATTTCCTGTTTAAAGGATGATTTCGTTGAATTTTAAGTCTGGCAACTTTCCAACTTGTTGCTGACTCATGGGAATCGATTTTCCACAGAGATACTCGCGTTCAGAACTGAAATTTCACCACACAAACCAATTATAACGAATTCCACAGCTGTTTTTGGCACTCGGCAAGCCAGGCGCTGACTCATCTAATTACATTTCGCATGGTATCTCCACTTTACACTTTTGTTTCAGACCAGCTTCGTTCTCACTTGTTCACATTAGACTTTCGCGATATACATATTGTATGTATCTACCTCTTACCGCCTGAAATTTCAGTCGCTAAAACCCTTCACACATGACGTACAACATTGCCTGACGTAATCTATATGCCGGCAGATGAGATCTCGCGAGCTGAAATTTCACACAGACAACACCACAGAGGAGTGGTGTTCGCTACCTGCGAACGTACACCCCTTATATACCTTTTATCTTCAGCTGTACCTTTGGCAGCATATCTCTTTTGGAACATTCAAGAATTTCATATCGAGAACCCCACAGGTAAGCAGAAAACAAACACGCACACACACACACACACACACGTACTCATACACTAATTCCTCAACCTTTATTTACCTAGAAATATATTATCTTTTCGTGCCGGACAGAAACGAAAAATCATTGACCGAAAGCTCTTGTTGTGGATTTTCAGTTTTCAGCTTTTTAACTGCGAGGCGAGTCATGTGGCGATGAATGACTTTTGGAGTTCTGGATAGTTAGAATAGCTTAACAAGTGCGACTTTGCAGAGGTCGATCACGTCCAAGCATATGTATAATGAGTGTCCGGATCGGATCGGAACGGATCTGGCTGGGACGAGGCTCTGGCTCTGACTCTGGCTCCGGCTCTGGCTGTGACCTTGCGCCGTTGCTTGTTGGCCGACCCGACTGCTAAACTACGCGAGTTGCGCATTTTAATATGCTACAGGTACAACCGGAGAGAAGAGGAGGGAGCCGTAGTGTAGCGCTTTGACACATAACTGATGTTGAAGGGCCCGCCGAATGCGATAAATAATTCATTGATATAGTTATACATATGTATGTATTGTTAATATATAGAATCGTTGTGTAAAGAATATACTATTGCAGTGTTTACTGTGGGGTGCTGTTAGATTCCTCGAGTGACGGCGGCGAGTCGGAAGGCGTTTTGATAATGTACCTCCATGAATAATTGATTTCTCTCTGGTCACTTGAGAGTTTGTTACCCACTAGCAACAGAATAGCACTCAGTGGTGCGATAAGGAGCCATCATCGGTGGACTGCACAACGATCCCTATACGTATGAATCACAGAACACTGCATAGCACCTACGCCTCGTCCGACAACACGTCTTTAAATAACAGACTGAAAACGTATGTAGAGCAAAACACATGTTGATAGTACATATATGGGTCATTGCCGATAAGCATTCTATTGCATATTTTACCAAAAATTTTTTGCGTTTTGCGTAATTGGGCTTTAATGATAGCAAGAAAAATGGAAATGAAAATGGCACTTAAATACACATAGTATGTATGTATAAAAAAATATACTAAAATAGCATAAAAACGTGCCTAATACATGCCTATGTATCACCCACACTCTTGTGTGAATGAACATATACAGCTGTACATACAGCTGTATGCATGCATGTATGTAAGTGAGCGGGTGTCTAAATCGCAAGAAGAAGACCAAAAACTCGCACATGGAAGGCGGCAGCTATAAATACACTATGAATGGGTGGGCAAAGAGGAGCAGATGAGGGGGCCCGTCGCATGCATTTCCAATGCACTGGGACACACTAAACTAAATAATCTTTAATTAGGAAAATATTGAAACACTTACACACGTCTATTTATTGAACTGTTTAGCACATCACATACATATACACATGTGCACATGTATTTATCAATTCCAAGAGTTGCAGAGATGCGCGCAGCGGTGATAGTGTAGTAGGGCTTGCTTGATGCCGTCCAATGATTATTTCGATCCCACACTGCCGGGGACGGCGGGATGACGGAAGAAGTGTAGTATACGTACTATCGAGATAACGCCGAATCTCAACTACGTTGCAACAATCCCAGATTAACACAGAAAATCTACCAAAAGAGCAACTTTTCAGCGACGAGAAGGCGCGAGACAGCGGCAAAAGCTTAGCCCCGACCGACTTGCAGACTAGACGCCACACACACGAACATGCACAGTTACGCAAGGTGCTGGTTAACTGTAATCATCTTGAGAGCTCGATTGATTTAAACATATGCCAATTCCATTTTCACTTTTGCACGCACCGCCAACACAAAATCCGCAAAATAGGGATGGAATGGATGGTAAATATATATTTATATCGAGCGCGTGCTCGATAGCTATCCAATAGTAGTCGACTCGCGTGTACACAGTACCAGGGCTGTGCACATCAAACTATCTTCGCTCTAAAACTCATATATTCGATAGCCACCCTCCGATAATATTATCAGAAACGAAACAGAAAACAGCTAAAAATTAAACTGGAAAAATGAGCGACACTGAACATCTTACTACTGGTACGTGTTGATACATCTGATCCAACGCTTTTTAATTTATTTTCACAATCCTCACCCACTTGCAGGCTCCACCAAGCCCATCTTTCCAGACGATGGTGTGCTGCGCTTGTACTCGATGCGTTTTTGTCCCTATGCACACCGCGTGCACCTCGTTCTTGATGCAAAGAACATACCGCATCACAACATCTATATTAATCTGCAAGCTAAACCCGACTGGTTTACCAAGATGAGCAGCACCGCCAAGGTGCCGGCACTGGAAGTCGTCAAGGAAGGCGAGAATTCTGTGCTAATTGAATCTCTAGTCATTTGCGATTACTTGGATGAGATGTATCCGGAAGTACCGCTCTACCCAACAGACCCGTTGAAGAAGGCCCAGGACAAGATACTCATTCAGCGTTTTGGGCATTTCATTACATCCCTTTACAAGATGTTGCTAGACGACAAGCGCGAACTGGACCTGACCGACTTGATCACCGACTTGGAAATTTACGAGAATGAGCTAAAGAAGCGAGGAAGCAAATTCTTTGGCGGCTCCAAGCCGGGAATGCTAGACTACATGATTTGGCCTTGGTGCGAGCGCTTTGCTGCTCTGAAACTTGACGACGGCACTCAAGCTGAGTTGGATCCACAGCGCTTTTTGACACTAGTGAGTACACACTCGGAATTGATGAATGTCAATATAAAATGTGTATTTGTTGCAGCTCCAATGGCGCGACTTGATGCTCCAGGATAAGGCCGTGAAAATTTTCTATCTGGATGGGGAGACTCATGACAAATATATGAACTCCCGTAAAGCTGGCAGTGCAGATTACAACATGCTCTAGTAGGTTCATAAAATCAATTTCAAACCATTCCTATTTAAGATCTCCCGTTTATATTTCTCAGCCATGCCGCCAAGCGTACAAGACGGGAGTAACACTTCATAAAATTTTGTTGTTTTTTTTCTTTTAACTTCGCTGGCTCGATCATTCAGATATTTAAAATATTGTGGAAAATCAAATTAAAATATTAAAACTCAATTTAAATTGTATTGTTATCGATAAATATATCAGGTTCCGCCACTATATAAAGGCGAGAGGCATTCCCGTCTTTGTCATTCGATAGGCAGCAAAAACAAAGTCAGCATTTCGCGTTTAAAGAATTTCAACAATTTTATTAAAAGCATAAACATGTCCATACCGCAAAAACACTTTAAGAAAGGTTAGTTGAAGGATTTTTTCCAAGGTCATTTGGCTAGCCAGCACCACGCACTTGTGATGCGGCATTTTAGTGGGAAATTGATTTTGTTATCTTATTTTTATCTGCACCGCACAATAAAAGAGAGCAGCAACAAAAATGCACCGCTTTAGCAGATAGAGATTAATTATAGACAGATATTTCCCCGCTGACGTCAGTGCCAATACAGTCCACATCATCAACAGGTACGCCCAAGCCGGAAATTCCAGAGGATGGCGTCTTGCGCTACTACACCATGCGCTTCTGCCCCTACTCCGAACGCGCCCAGTTGATGCTGGCCGCCAAGAAGATTCCCCATCACACGGTGTACATTGATTTGACCGAGAAGCCTGAGTGGTACATTGACTACAGTCCCCTGGGAAAGGTGCCTGCCATCCAGTTGCCCCATCTGCCGGGCCAGCCGACTCTGGTGGAGTCCCTGGTGATTGCCGAATATTTGGACGAGGAGTATCCAGGAGAGCGTTCACTGTTTCCCAAGGATCCACTGCAAAAGGCCCTGGACAGGATACTCATTGAGCGACTATCCCCCGCCGTCAGTGCCATCTATCCGGTTTTCTTCACCACAAACCCGCCCGAAGATGCACTGAAGAACTTTGAGGCCGCCTTGGATGTGTTCGAAGAGGAGATCACCAAGCGCGCAACGCCCTACTTTGGAGGCGAACAAATTGGCATTGTGGATTATATGATCTGGCCCTGGTTCGAGCGGTTCCCCGCCCTCAAGTACACGCTGGCCGAGCCATACGAGCTGGACTCAAAACGCTATCCGAATCTGCTGAATTGGCGCCTCCTAGTGTCTCAGGACGAGGCTGTTAAGGCCACTGCACTGGATGCCAAAGTGCATGCCAAGTTTATGCGCACCCGCCACGAGGGCAAGACCAACTATGACTTGGCATTCGAGCCCTTGTAAAGAATGAGAAATGATTAATATTCTGTCAAAGAGTAGATTTAAAAGGGAGATTAATATGGGAGTGTCTTAAAGTTGGATTCTGAATCATTTATATAAAATATACTCGTAAATATGGCCTCCAAATATGTTTATCTTTGAGGGCATTCAACTACTTGCGATGTTATCTCCAGACTGCCGCACGAACTAACCAGAACTCTGATAATATTTTCAGGCTCCACCAAACCGCAGCTGCCCGAGGACGGGGTATTGCGAGTCTACTCGATGAGATTCTGTCCCTTCAGCCAACGGGTACACCTCATCCTCGACGCTAAAAAAATTCCCCATCACAAAATCTACATCGATTTGATTGACAAGCCCGAATGGTACAAGGATTACAGTCCCCTAGGAAAGGTACCCGCCTTGCAGCTGACGGATGTAAAAGACCAGCCAACACTTGTGGAATCGATGATCATAGCCGAATTTCTCGATGAGCAGTATCCCGAGTTGCGGCTCTTTCCCAGTGACCCGCTGCACAAGGCCCAGGACAAGATTCTGATTGAACGCTTTGCTCCTGTGGTCAATGCCGTGTATCCAGTGCTGACCTGCAATGCCAATGCTCCGAAAGATGCCCTCACGAACTTCGAGACTGCCCTGGATGCGTTCGAGCAAGAGCTGGCCAAGAGAGGGACGCCCTACTTTGCTGGACAGACAATTGGCATTGTGGATTATATGATCTGGCCCTGGTTCGAGCGCTTTCCCAGTCTGAAGCTGACCACGGAACACAAGTATGAGCTGGATGCCAAGCGCTTTGGTCTCTTGGTAAGCTTTTCCGTTCCCCTTCAACTGAATGTGCTCTAATGCTTTCTTTACAGCTTAAGTGGCGTGATCTGGTAGCCCAGGATGAGGCTGTTCGGAAGACCGCTCTGGATGCCCAATTGCACGCAGACTTCCAGGGTTCAAAACGACTGGGCAAGCCCCAGTACGACATAGCTTTTAAGGCTTAAAGGCCCTCCGGCATCTGTGCTTTATTCATTCCGAGCAAAAAAAAAAAAACGAACAAAAAAAAATCATGCTTCCTTGACCAGCAGATTATAGTTGGGTCTGCCGGCGCTGCGAGTGCGCAGGAACTCTGCTTGCACTTCCGCCTCCATGTAGAAGGCCATCACAGCCGAATCCCGCTTCATGCGTTCCACCCATTGCGACTGAATGGGAAAACCAAGATTACGGGTTAACTTCTGACATCGAGAGTCATCCGAAGAGCACTCACCAGCTGCGGGAAGCGCCGCTCATCGAAATTGTAGTCATCGCCTCGCTGCACCTTGAGCAAGTCCAGGCGCTCACACCACGGCCATATCATGTAGTCGAGAATACCCGTTTGTTCGCCACCAAAGAAGTCAGTGCAACGGCGGCTTAGCTCCTTCTCATAGGTATCCAAGCCACACCAGAATGGCTCCAGGTCGCCGCCATCAGATGCCCTAAAGAAGGCGCCCAGGACCGAGTTGAAGCGCTCGATTAAAAGCCTCTCCTGGACCTTCTTCAGTGGATCTCGCGGATAAAGCGGTCGCAGTGGATACTGCTCGTCCAGGTACTCGCAGATGAGCAGCGATTCGGTCAGCACCGGTGGACCCGGTTCGCGCACCAGCTCCAGTGCTGGCACCTTGCCCTGCGGATTCTTGTCGAATAGCCAGTCTGGTTTCTCTGTGAGATTTATGTAAATGCTGTGGTAGGGTATCTGTTTGGCATCCAGCACTAGATGGACACGCTGGGCGAACGGACAGAAGCGCATGGAGTACAACCGCAGTATCCCATCCTCGGGCACATCCGGAATGGGAGAGCCTACAAAAACGGATTCGATTCCTTTCAGGCTGACAGGCCCACGTGATGAGGAGCTGTACCCACCTTTAGCCAAGTGTCTGCCGTTGCTCATGATGCGCGTGGTCTGATCTGCTCTGGTGCAGCGATGCAAGTAATGCAAATCATCAACCGAGTCGACTAATATATAAAGAGCAGCAGAGGCCCGCCCTTGGCTGGGCGGCTTCCATTACGCGGCCCGGATGAACTTGGCGGCTGCGTCAACCTTTGCGGCTGACACACATAGCTGTGTTGATGGACACACAGTGGAACGCTTCTGTTATTGAAAAACTTTATTCATCTCTCGGAATCAGAAAGTAAGAACTATAGAATTGAGTATCTCGAGATCTAGGCCAGCAGATCGTAGTTGGTGTTGCCCGACTTGCGGCCTCTCCAGAACTCGATGTGCTGCTCGGGCGTAGCATAGAAGGACTTCACCACATCATCCGCCTTGAGCAGATCAATCAGATTGGCAATCCTGGGAAAGCGTTTTGCATCGAAGTTGTAGCTGTCCTCGAGGATGAACCCAATCACAGCCAGACGCTCCAGCCAGGGCCAAATCATGTAGTCCACAAAGCCAGGCCTGTCGCCGCCGAAAAAGGGTGTGCCCCGCTTGACCAGCTCTTTCTCGAAGATCTCCAGGGCAAGCCAGTAGTCATCGAGGCCAGTGCTGTGGAACAAGATCTTCATGAATGCATTGGTGACGGCACTGAAGCGCTCCACCAGGATCTTATCCTCGGCCCGCTTCAGAGGGTCCTTGGGCAGAAGAGGATTCTGCGGATACTTCTCATCCAGATACTCGGCAATGATCAGCGACTCGATGAGCGAGGGCTCTCCCTTCTCCCCCGGCAGTTGGAGTGCAGGCACCTTCAGCAGCGGGCTCACCTCCACCAGCCATTCGGGCTTCTCGGTGAGATTGATATAGACGGTATGGTAGGGCACCTTCTTGGCATTCAGCACAAGATGTGCGCGCTCTGCATATGGGCAGAAGCGCATCGAAAACAAACGCAGTTTTCCATCGTCGGGCAGAACGGGTTTCGATGAACCTATAAATGCGCAGTCATTAAACCAATAAGTCGATTATAATATCATAAAAATATGTAGGCAAATTGCAAGTCACATAGCTGATACGGCCATGAATGAGATACCAGTATGACAAACATTTTGTTTACCTATCTTATCTATGACGATATACTCTATTCGGTGATAATTTGTATACTAAATACGAACTAAGCATCCTACCATATCAATAGTGCAATTATTGGCACGTTAGAGGGGAATGATTATAAGAATATTCTTTGGCTAATATTTTATTGATTCAGGTCTGTCCCTCTCTGTCCATTTAAAGCGTTTCTCATGCATTCTCAAGCTATGGAAATTATCAAAGCCAAATCATTTCTGTATACCCTGAGTACTGGGTAATTCGTAGCATTTAGAAGCATTTGCGAGAACATGAAATACATTCAGTATATGTAGCATCTAGATCGAGATCTCCAAGAAAAAATGTCATTGCCTACCACATTTATATTAATTCCACATAAAACTGGTTTGCTTTGGTTTAAAAATTATCTACCCTGTAGCGAAGGACTGGAGTAAAGTCTGGGCTGTACTCTTTACACATTATCGGATACGGTATATGTAATATTGTTTTTACTTGTTTCGCTACAGCTTTAAGAGTATACGGACTGAGCTAGCTAGCTAAAAACAAAATGCCACCTCATTGACTAATTTCTCTTAATCAGTGATTGAGCAGTCTCGCCGCCCGCTCGTGAGGAAGAGCAATTAGTGGAAGGCTGTAGAATTGTTTTGTTTTTATTTTATGGTGAAATAGCACCATAATTCTCTTCTGCTCTTCCCTCCTCTCTTACCTTTGCCGAGGTGTTTTCCAGAACTCATTATGGCTATGTTTTGAAGAGAAAATTCGAGCAAAATTCACTTGGTATTTGATGTTGATGTTGAAGGCAACCGGCTTGGCTTTCTTTAAACAACTGAAGTTTCTCTTTGCGTGCGCTCTGTATTTATAAAGCTTTGCGGCCCCATACGGGCCATTGGGGCATACGATACGATGAGTGAGCTTTCCTGAGCATGACATGACTCTTACGAATTTCATTACCCGAAGTTCTGGCTCTTTCGATAGCGCCTTCACACGCATACCACACTCGGAGTAGAACCGATTTAACATTGTCCTCGTTTATTATTTTGCGATTAAAACGCTACATTTTGCTTCGTTCACATACTGTCTGTCAATACATATCATATCATTTCACATCAATGTTCGTACATCTACTTATTTGATTAATAATCACGCCCGGCTTTTGCAATATACATATACTATATATTCATGTATGTTTGTATATATATTATATCTTTACAGTTTTACATTGATTGGATTGGGGGGAGAGTTTTGTTTTGGTTAAGTGAACTTCCAACTACTACTAAACAGACACGACACACATTTAGAGACATTTCGTTTAGTTGTATCCTGTTTTAAAATTGGAACGGAACTTAACCTATTTACACAAATTCACAAAAATTCCTGCCTGAAGTCATATAAAAAATATACAAAAAATACATACATATTGTATATATGTACATACATATGTACATATATTTAAAAAAAATTTCGCCTGCTGGTGACTCAGCGCTGCATAAAAAAATAGTACTGTAGTTCAATCAGTTATCAGTGTTTACGAAAAAAGTCGCGATACAAAAAATAATACGAATAAATTAAACAATTATATGATTTATTCGGTTCGATTCGGTTCGGTTTGCCCGAAGCCTGATTTGAAAGCCCTAGCATCAATTATTTATATTGCTCATATTAATTGGACCTAAAGTGTAAAAACGGAGTAAAAATTGTGTGATGGGGATATAATCCAAAGGAATGATATCATCTTTCGGTTGACGTATATTATCTATTTTCATTTACACTTAACAGACAGACAAAGGACTTTTCTGATAATAATTGAATCACTTTTGAGGGCTTACAAATTGATCTGCTTTTAAAAAACATTTAAGTTTAAATTTAAATTTAAAAATTGTTCGATTATTGAATCGTTTTTCTTATCGACTGCGCGTTGTTCTTATCGTAATTACATACTTGGTTGTTTTAGTTATTTTGTTTTTTTTTTTTTGTTACTGGGGGAATAAGTTGCTTAAACTAAGTACACAAATACATACAATACATGCTAAAAAAAAGTTCTACACATTTGAATTACATTTTTATATTCATTTCGTTTGCAATTGTTTTGATGTTTTTGTTTTGCATCGTTGCCTGACGATTCCGATTTCTAAGTTTCGTTAATAGTTTCGTTATTTTTTTTTTGTTTTTTTGTTGGTTTTGTATTTTGTTTGTTGCTCTATAAAATATGCAAACATGTTGCATTTTGATCACGGTTCTTGCTGTTTCATTATATATATCTTTTTTGATTACTGGAACGACTTGAATTTATCGAACAAAATGGATTTTTGATGAAAGATTATGAAGGATGCTGCCCTCTATTGTATTGAAGATGGCATTGGTGGGGCAGCTTAGCCATGCGATGAGGTGGCAGCTACTGAGAGGCCAGTAGGTGAGACCGAAGCAGGAGTTGCCGCCGCCACAAAACTGTTCCTTTTGTTCAGAATCAGAGGCTGGGATTGGGTCTGAGATTGAGATTGGGGGCACTGCAATAGCGTCGATCGAGTGGAGCTGGAATGGAACTTTGGCTGCATTTGGCTGGTGGACACTGTGGAAGAGCTGCTACCACCGATGCTGCTGCTAATGCTGTTGGTGGTGCCACTGGTGGTGTTGTTGGTGGTGACCTGCAACTGTTGCTGCTGGTGCTGGCTGCAAGTGAACAGAGTTCATCATTGGCTCGGGGATTTGGGGGCAGGGCATTTAGGACACACACCCCTTCTGCTCGCCATCCTTCTTGCTGTTGAACATGGCCAGCTCGATCTCCGTGTGCTGGCTGTTCATATGACGCACCCACTCCGCAGGCGTCTCAAAGGATCTGCAGGGCAAGACAAATGCAAAACAATACAATTAGTTTCTCTTTACTTTAGTTACTGTATTTCGCTTACGTCGAGCACAAATCACATAGCAGGGTGACATGATCATGATCCATATTATTCTCCTGTTGCTGCAAGAGGAAAAGGAAATGGTTAGGCACCACATACCACAGGGACCGATCACGAGACTCACCGAGACTCTGCGTCGCTTCTTTGGCACATAGGTTTTGAGGGCTCGCATCGCGAGATTGGTGTTGCTGGAAGTGGTCGACGCACTGCCGCTGGCACTGGCCGCCATCAGGTTAGTGCCTGATCCCGGCTCGTTGGCGTGTGTGCCCAGGTGACGGACCAGGGTCTTGGTATCCTCAAAAGACTTCTGGCATATCTCGCACACGAGCAGCTGCTTGAAGTTGTTGTAGTCGCGCAGAGTGTGCTCCTCGGACTCCTCGTGCGGCGTGGCCCGGTCGCGGTTCACCTCTAGCTTGACGGCGCTCATCTTAAAGTCCAGCGGCTGCTTGGGCGACAGGTGCCCATCCTCGTGGTTGTTGTTGCTGGCATTGGCCGCTGTTGGTGGGTTGTTGGTCCAGTCGCTGGGCTCCTGTTTGATGCTGAGAAAGCTGTGCGGATGTGGCGGTGGCGGTGGTGTGGCAAAGTGCAGCGGTGCCTCATAGTACTCGTGAGCTGTTGGAGTAGCAATGAAGGAGCACAATCGAATTATTTATATACCTAAGACGGCCCAACCCATCTTTCCCACTCACCTCGATCGCAGGCACTCTCACGACGCAGCCGACGCTCGTACACCAGACCCACATCCTCCCGCTCACAGAGCGCCTGCTCCTCGTACTCCGGCCGACGCAGCGTGGTATCCGTCGGCTCGGAGGCGGTCCCCACGGCCAGTGGACAGCTGCTGCAGCCCACCTCTGTGCATATGGACATGGCTGGCGGTGGCGGAACTCCTCCGGCTACTGCTACTGTTACTGCTACTGCTCCGGCGGTCGTCGATGAAGGCGGCGGCTGTGGCTCCACCTGACTGGTAGCGGCTGCATAGCAGCACTTATCCTCGGGATCGATAGCCACCTCCTTGTTTACGGATATGCCCAGCTTGCTGCTGCTGGCCACGCTCAGCAGACCCGTGTGTGCGGCCATTTTCGGGGACTTGACAATCACGGGACTGTCCTTTGGCATGACGGAAGCGCCGAGGCCACGGAATTGCTGCTGATGGTGATGATGATGATTGTGCTGGTTCTGTTGCTGTTGCTGTTGCTGGTGCTGATGCGATGGTGGATGGTGTTGCGGTTGTGGCTGGTGATGGTGATGCTCCAAGGTATATCTGCCGGAGCCACTGCTGCTGCTGCTGCTCGGCTTGCTGCTGTAGATGTCGCCAGGAAGCTGTGTGGACATAGGCGGTGGCGGTGGCGGTGGAAGCGTCGACCGCGATCCATTCGACACATACATGGCGCTCGCCGACGAATCCCGCTGATGCAGATGTCCGCCGTGCGGATGGTGGTGCGAGGACGTGACAGTGGTGCTGCTGTTGTTGGAAGCGCTGGAGCGGCAGAGGCCACGGATCTTGAGAATCTCGCCGCCCCGCAGCACCTCGTTGAGAATGTCATTGGAGACGGTAGCCTCCCCGCTGTACATGTACTGCACCAGGATTTGTATGGCCCGGTGGCTCAGATCGGGCGGAAGCACAACGTATATGACGCCGTTGGGTGAGGCAATCGGCGCCGTCTCGAACATGGTGGCAAAGAACTGGCTGCAGGAGCTGAGAATGAACTTGTGCGCCGAGATGCCCACCGTGGGTATGTCCGAGTTGATGCTGCTGCTGGTGTATGAGCTGTACAGCACCACATCGGCAAACTTTTCATTCCTGCATGAAAAGCAATGAGTATTAATTAATGCAGAAGCGAACAGTGCAAATATTCCATTTACTCACTTGTAGAGCGTGGCAATTGAGGTGTTCAAATAGGACAGATGCGAGTCCCACTTCAGATGATAGTTTTCGGCGGCCATCTCGCGGCCGGAAGCGCCTCGCACGCACAACTGCTGCTGCTGCTGCTGATGCACATTGAAAACGACAATCAATATGAGAAATCAATAAATTGCGGGAGACTGGGGCAAAAAAGTTTTCAAACATATTTTTCACCTCACCAAATGTAACAGCCCTGTCTAACACTCTACATTTAGTTATCGAGTGAACTATCGGGATTCCTATTAGTTTATTGTCATCGCTAACCGTTTTGCTTACTTATAAGTTATAAAATACAAAACAAATGAAAATTTTGTTTATTTATATCTGAGATGAGCGACTTTGATTCGCGATTAATTCGCTTAGTAAGGGGCAACCCCCAGCTTTTGAAGCGGAAGGCCCGCACAGCTCCGTACTCATTAAGGAAGAATGCCGAGGAGGAGATCTGGGGCGCCATTGCGACCTCCCTGCAAGCCGATGGTAATTAGCTGAATGCTATACTGACCTGCCCTGCTCGGCGTATTTAAATCCATACAATTTCCGTTCCCCTGTAGTTAAAACATGCACCAGCCGTTGGGAGCACCTTAAATCGAAACTGCAACAGGAATTGGCCAAGGAAGGCGAGGGTGTCCCCTCCACTTGGAACCTGATGCCCACTATGCGGGACTTCAAGCCGGGGAGGATGGGTGGTATAAGTCCTCAGCCATCGGACCCTCTTATTGAGGAGGTACACGACGAAGAGAACAATTTGCAAGAGGCAATGGATTGCTCAGTAGCAGATGCGACTAAGACGTTGGCAAGTGGTAGTGCCCAAATTCCCTCTTCCACACTCCTACCCGATTTTACCGCAAACGCTACCATGAGGCGCGTCGGTACCATGCTGGAGGGATTTGGCGAGGAGGATTGCGCTAAGGCGGGAAAAAGAATCATTGCATACTTATGTCATTGCACTCTGCATATTTTGAAATCCAAACCAATCGACGATTTGGTTATTTAGAACACAAAAGTCGAATTCAAACGACTAAAACACTTACTATGACGCAGTTTGTGCAGCTGGTCAGAGAATGCGCGCGCAAGCAATAACATGTCCAATATCCCCGATGTTTGGATCAGTCTGCGGGAGGGGGCTTGCGCGCGACGACTCCAAAACAAGCATTTTTAGTTTATTAATTTGATGACTCCGCGAGGCTGACGGACCATGCAATATTAGCGAAAACATAAACCAAAACGAACAAGGCGCGTCGTCGTCGTCGTCGTCCTCGTGCACCCTTAACTTCTCTGCGTGCTCGTGCCCTCACCTTTCCCCCTACCCGACGCACCACCCACAAGGCCCACTACTACATGGAACTACTCCTATAGCCAGGCCCCGACGCCGCCGCCGCCATCCCTTCCCACACATTCGGTTTTGACACCAAATTATCGATTGATTTCAGTACAAGCACAAACAAAAATCGATAAGCTGCCAGTCAAAATCCACTATTGTACAGTTAAATATAATGTTAATTCACAATTCTTCGGCATTCGCTGTGTCCATTCATTGTGTTGTTTAGCTTTACTTTTAGTTTAAATGTTGAACTAAACGCGACTTTTAAAAATCGCGCCCAAAATGTTCTTGTAATATTTAAACGAAAAAAAATTCACCTTAGCTTTGCTTTTATTTGTTTTTATTTGCGATGCACTTGTAACGGTTAAATTGGGTTTTTTCAAAAGTTGATTTATGGTAGTTGTATATTATTCTGCATTGAAATGATTTTGTTTAAACTACACACAGAGACGTGCGACGGTTGGACAGGGGTAAACTGCGCCGCGTCCAAAGCTTTCGCTTTGCCAGCTTACGAATAAATGCAGCAACGAATAAAATGTCCTGGTCCTGCTTGGTCAGGGCATATTGAATAGACGGTAAGGCCCAAACATACATCGGAATGAGAGAAAGAGGGTGGGTTCTCGGCCGCACAAAGAGCGGGCCTTATCTTATACTGAATATACCTTGTGCCTGGACGCCAGAGAGCACCCAGCACCGGGAGAGAGAGCGGAAACGAACTTACACCCCTCTCACGTGCGCATTGTTATTGTTGTGGTTGGTTCTAAGTTACATACAAATGTAACGGGAGCATCGGACAACGCGCGTAAAATTGATTTCCCTGAGTATATTGATTTCATTTCTGCTGCGGTACGTTACTGGCCCTCCGCCACCTCCTTATCAGGCTCCACCGTCTCTGGCACAGTCTCCGCTGCAGTCTCCCCCTCCGCTATTTCCTCCTCAATTGGTAGGCTATCTGTTGGGGTATCTTTATCCTCCTTCTTAGTCAACGCCTCCTGCTCCAGCTGCATTTGTGTGGCCGTCGAGGTATCCTGCTTGAACAGCTCGCGCAGCAGCATTGTGGCATAGGCAGCCGTGGGCAATGAGAACTCCAGCACGAGGGCCAGATACTTGGCATCGTCCTCAGATGGTTCTGCGGTGATGGGAATACCCTTCATCAACTCAAAGTCGGAGGCTATCAGTGTGTCCTCGGGAGTGTTGTACCGCCTGAAACTCCACTTCAGGTCGTTTGGCTGAATGATCATCTTGCGGTAGGCACCCCCCAGGGCATAGGTCTTTTCCTTATGCTTGAGCAACTCCGAGGAGAGTCCCACTTCGGCCATCATCTCCTCGTACCACGCCCCGCACTCGTTGGCTGGATATGTTATGTCGTGACCGGGCAGGGGCAGGACCACATCGGAGAGCTTATACTTGCCGCTGGCAATGTCCTCCTCGCTCAGTGGGCGCACCTTGCGCTTGAACACCGATTCCTCTTCCAGGGCGACATCGACATCCTCTTCGACACCTTCTGGAAGATCTCCTTCGTCAGTCTCCGCAGCTTCGGTCTCCGCAGCCTCAATCTGGTTCTCCTCCTCCATAGGCTCCGATTGCTCCACATAAACCAAGTCGCCGGGGATCAGCTTCAGGCCGAACTCCTTGATCCTTCGCGAAGCGATGCGGTTAAAGATCAGGCTCTGATAGGCATGCGGATACAGCATCAGCATGTTGCGTGGTATTTGCCGCAATGCTGAGGAATAGTCGGTCTCCCCAAATCTGGCGAGGCCATCCAGCAGCTTCTTCTCGATGAACTTGTCGCCAAAGAACTTTGCGGCCGCCGCCGCAGAGTCACGTTTCTCCCACCATTCCTTTCGAATAGCTCGCATGAACTCGATGTCAGTGTCACGGGGCTTCAGGATCAGCTCGCATGCCAATTTGTAGTCACGCTTTAGCAGGGCCACGCCTACCTCATAAGTTGGCACACTGGCACTGTTGCCGAACCGCTGCAGACCATAGTAGTTGATGAAGCCGCGCTCCTTGAGGGACTCCAGGGAAACCTCGATATCTGCCTGCCGCTCCTTGGCTATGTGGCGCAAAGCAATGCGAAAACGATTGCCCTGCAGATCACCCAGCTTTAGGGTCGTTGATCTGAAGTTAAAGTTGCCAAAAAAGACATTTCGGATCGCTCGTGCCGCATTGATTATGCTCTCGGGCGAGCGGCGTTTGATGGAGAAGTTTTGCGTGGTCTTGGCGCGCTTGTCTTTGGTCCCACAATAGTTGACCTGCGAGGGTCGTAAGCTATGGAAACCAAGCAACATAATTAGGTTCGATTAATTATGGGGCAGTCGTGGGTAGACTTACTTTAGGCGAGAGGCTAGGGTGGAGGCAACCTCACTGGTATCTATATTCGTTTTGTGCACCAGGAAAGTGACAAACTCTCCAGGAAAGTTCCACCGGTTGTCGCCTGTTCAAATGGAACTCTTTTGATGAAGATTCGTTAGGAAATGACCTTCCACTTACCGCGGCCATGCTTTGGTTTTATTATGCGTATGGTTTTCTTGTCTTCCACTGGGGCTGCTTCCTCCGCTGGCACCTTCTGCTCCTCCTGCGGCTTCTCCTTAGCCTGCGTCTGGCCCAATGTGGTGGAGACTAGCTTTCCCGAGTACAACTGCTTCACTAGCTGGTGAATTTTTGTTCGCTTCTCTTTGTCCACACTGCTCACATCGATCTCTACTTTCTGCTCAGTCTTTGGATCAAATTTGGCATTCGCCAAGCTGGCTATATCCGTCCAGACATCTGGGCCAATCACCTCCTCCAGTTCCTTGCGCCACTCGTCCAACTTTTGCGGATCCACAGCTGCAATTTTAATACAAATAAGAAATATATACTAATATTTTGCATTGCCCTCCGAATATACACACGTTCTACTACGGCCTTTGGTACGGTATAATCATTCAGTTCCAGGACGCGGCCCTCGGTATCAATTTCGTTGACATGAAAGTCGGAGAAGCGCGATTTCAAAATGCCCGTAAATCCGGGAGCATCCGCATTGGTGAATTCTGTTATGCCCACCTGATTCTCGCGCAGTGTGGACTTTTGCTGTGGCGCTGATCTGGAAGAGAACGAATAAATCAGAAGCCGGTTATGGGGACACCACAAATCTATTAGTTTTCCCACCTGTTGCGTGGGTTTCCATTGTGCTGGGAGCGCTCCTTCTTCTGGCCACGCCAATTGCTTTTATTATAAGGCCTAGACTGGTGGTTTCTGCGTCCCCTGCCCCGTTCTTTGCCCATTTTTAAGTCAATAAATTCTATTTTTCTTCAGTTTTTCAAAGCAGCCAACGCACGTTTTGTCATTCACAATGTGCGAAATCATATGACATTTGCCATTCACCAGCACCGCATGCTTATCGCACTCCTGAGTAATCGTTAGAGTGTCATCACCTCTCGACGAAAATACGTAACAAAGGCATGCGTATAGTTTTTGAAATATGTTTAAAATTTAGTTTATCACAAAAATTCATAGAAAATACTTCTACGGAGCGTCTTAAAAGTGTTTAGCAAAATGTTGCCCCACCTGGGCACCGAAGAAACCGTGCCGTCCGCAACGCGAAAAGTGTATATTAATCCCAATTTTCAGATGGCTTTGCAGGGCCGAATTGCTCATCCGTTTCAGCCCCAGCTGCAGCAACAGTCGCTGCCACCGCTTCCGCCTGCGATCCACATAAACCCGCAATTCCTGCAGCGTCAACAGGCCATGTACGAGGAGTATCGCCGTCAGGAGTGGATGCAGGAGATGCAGCAACAGGTCTCCGTTCCGTACTACCGAGAACGAGTGTTCACCGAGGTAACGCCACATATTCCAGACAGCACGCCGCAGGCAAAGATTATAAGCAAGGCCAGCACTTGCCTGGTGCGGAAGGCGCCCATTAAGTCTGCCCCTCTGCGTGTTCCATCTCCCGTTGTTGCTGTTGTGCCCCAGCCGCCTTTGGTCAGCATATCCAAACGGAAAATCGTGCGTCAGCCAGCTGTGAAGCCAACGCCTACAGTCACGGCTCCACCTCCTGCCAAGCGCACAAAATACAAGCTAGTGCGCGCCATTTCCCTAACGTTTACTCCTCTGGTCAAGAAGCGACGCACCCTGGGGGAATTCGTGGGCCAATACGCCCTGCAGCGTACCAACGAGGCGGAGACGGACAAAAATTTAAGGTTAGACCCAATGTTTAGTCGACTATGCCTCAGTATACATAACGATCTATTCTTCACCAATTAGCTCAAGGCCGCAAGTGGTTAAGGACAGCGTTAACAAGTCCCTGAGCATGGTCAGCATACATGGCGTGATGTACAGGAAGATATCAAAGAACAAGCTTACCAAACTGGATGCCCCAACAGGAGCTGTGGCCAAATCCACGACACCGATGTCCCTCAACCGTTCATTGTCCGGCCGCACTCTGCTTGTGAGCGGTAACAAGTTTATCATCGATCCTTCGGGCTGCCGTCTAACAAGAGTACCAACTGCAACCGTGACAGCATCGTCACCAGCTAGTAGTGATAATAGTGCGTCACAGCTTAACGGAAACCGAACCACCCTCCGTCGCATCGATATCGGTGGCTTAACATATGTCGCCTCGTCCAAGACCAAGAATGTTTTCATACGCACCACGAATCATGTCTCGCGTGCCCACTTGATTACCGCCAGGCAACGCAGCCTGACGCTGCTCAATAAGTCGTTGGTGAAGACAAATGTGCCATGTGCCATTTACCAGAAGCTCGGTAAATGTGTGGCGCACAGTCGCGGAAAGTGCCGAAAATTGCACGACAAGCGACAGGTCACAATCTGTCCCAGGTTGGTCCCTCAGCCGTGCGAGGAGAGACTCTTCGATGGTGTTCTGAGTGGAGACTTTAAGCGGTAACTCTCTTTGCTTAACTTTGCTTATCCATTTTCAGCTTTCTGCGAGGCGAATGTACCAAGTCCGACTGCTTGCTGTCGCACAATGTTACGCTGGAGAAAATGCCCGTCTGCCGCTACTATCTGCGTGGCGTTTGTGTGCGCGAAGACTGCCCCTATCTGCATAAGAAGCTCAGCCGCAATACCGAGATCTGTATTGACTTTGTGCGTGGCTATTGCTCGCTTGCTGCCGAGGTAAGTTGTTTTGATCCAATGGAAAATCATCCTATTAACGCCTTTGCTACTTCAAGTGCAACAAGCGTCACGAGTTTGCCTGTCCCGAGTTGGAGCGCAAGGGTACTTGCGAGTTGGCCAAGTGTCGCTTCTGCAAGCAAACCTCAAAGCGGCTGATAAAACCCAAGCCGAAAACGAAGAAGGAGTCTGTCGGCATCCAGAAAACTCCTCAGACTGCTAACCCTGGAACGGAACAACCCGGTAGTTCTCGCTACTTTAAGTCCGAAGGCGAGCAGGCTACCCAGGACGAGTCTGCGTCGGCCGTTGACCAGCGAAATGACGATAGCGAAGAAGAACTGCCCGCGGAAGAGGAGAAGGCGTCAGCGGAGGTTGGCCCAATTAGCTTCCGCCAACGACCAAAGTTAGGGACACTGCCTGCGTTCATACCGCTGGGCGAAGAGGAGTGATAAGTGAATGTGTGTGACAATTCTTGGACCCAACGTTTCAGGTACAAATCAATTTGGTTAAGTATGGTTCTACAGATTATTATAAGTCCTAATTTTTCTAGTTTATTCAATTTTACTACTACGAAATAAAGAAATATATGAAGCAAATGATTAAAATAATTGAAGTGAGTTTGTTTTTTTGATACTCGATTTAGATATTCGGTTTGATGAAAAGGATATTGTAGATTTTCTAAAGCTATCTTAATTGCAATGTATGTATATTTTGCAGCTTTTGGTACTTACAAATACCGAGATTATTAATTGGGATCGAGAAATATACATGTATATACAAAAATGCAATTAAATAGATGAATAGATCAAAAACATGTCAATCTTTGGTTTACAAGCAGCTTAAAAACCGGAGTTACAATTAATTAAAAGAATTGGGGTATAAAAAGGTCCATACTCCATAAATATGTAGTTCATATGTAAAAGATATGTAGTTACGGTGTAGTTACCATGTACCAAAATGAACATTTTATGGACCTTTTTTGTTTTACCCTTATTTTATAAACAAAAAATAAAATAAAGGTACTTAAAATTAGCATATATTGTAGAAAATTGATTCATCAATCGATTCATAATATTAAGCCGAATATCAAAATCGAGATATGTATATGACTTCTGATCATGGAGAGAGAACGATTAACCCATTGTCGACCTGTGGGTATTTAAATACACTCAACGAAAATTATATATCCTTAGAGCTTTTTTAATTAAAAAGGAATGATAGGATTTATCTACAAGAAGAATTTTCAAATAGTATTATTTTGGCGGCTTAACTAAGTTTCTAACCTGTTAAAATAAAGGGGGGTTAAGTGGGTTAAGCTCGGACTGGTCGCACCGCTCCAGCTAACAGAAATTACGGTACCGAAAGGTCGTGCGCACGCGTAGCTCCGAACGAAGTGAGGTGAACCAAACGCGGTGGTATCGGTTTCGAAAAACGACTTCCATTTTTTCAATTGTGGCAAATTTATAAAGTGAGTTTGAGAAAAAGAAATGCGAAACAAAAGCTGAGAAACTTCGGCAACGGCCTTTGAACTTCGCAAGGTAGCTTTGACATCTGCTGACGTTTTCGGAATTTATGCACTTTGTATCTCTCTGTGCTTCTCCCTTTCTTCTTTGGTCTGCGCAATCGAGGCCATGCATTTTTCCCCATTTTCGCCAAACAACATGGACTTCGATTTCAATGACCAAGACGGACTTGTTGTAGTGGTCGTAATTTTCCCCAAAACGTTCTCGCTTAGGTGCATTCCACAGTAAATGCTACTAATAACAAAGGCAACAACAAGAAGTTGTAGAAAACAAGGAACCCAACAACATCGAAAAAACCAAAGGAAGGCAATCCAAAGATTGGCCGCTTCCAGCAAAAAGATGAAAAAAAGTTGCTTGACTTGTTTGACCCAGGCATGTGTAACTGCTGTGTGTGTGTTTGGTGGGTTTCGTTTCCATGTGTGAGTGCGGCTCTGGCCATCCATGTCTTCTTCTTCTTCTTCTGCTTCATCTGTTGCTTCTTGTTGTTGGCCGCTGTGCAGCCGCAAAAGCAGCAGCCCCTATTCTACATAAATTTCCAAACAGAATGACACATAAAAGCCATAAAAATGACTTTTTAATTTATGCAAAGAACAACAAAAGCAAATGTAAAACAACATAACGGCTGCCTGCATAACTTTAATAACTTTATGTAACACACAAAACTGCAAATGGATTACGGCAACAAATATTTTCGTGCGTAAATGTGTGTGTGCGTTATGGAGTGTGTGTGAGAGAGAGAGGGAGTGCAAATTGAGGGCCGCATTCGTGGCTTGTTGTTGTAGGGAAAAGGACTTACAGTTAATCGGGATCGGAATGATTTAGTGCAGAATGTGCTCAGTGTATATAAACATACACATAGTAAATACATACATACATACCGAAGAAGAGAAAAAGCTTCTTTTCTAAATTCTTCGGCTCTCTCGTTCTCCCTCTAGCTCTTCCCCCCACCTGTTGAAACTCATTTTCATTCCGCATATTTTCACCAATTAAATTAATTTTAAAATAATTCCCCAGTCTGTGATAAAACAAAACGAGAAACAAGAAGAGCAGAAAGAGAAAAGCAGCAAGCAAAAACAACGGAAAAAAGGAGAAAATCAGAGAACCAGCAGCAATAACAGAAACAACAACACCAACGGCAGGTGAGAGATAGAGAGAGGAAAGAGAGAAGTACAAGGTAATCTTTCCAGTCTGCAGCGGCATTCCATTCCATGGTGAGTTGTAGTTGTAGGGTGGGTGAAGTGAACCCAAAAAAGTTCCCAAACCAAAAGTCTTGACCAAAAATGCTTAAGCAAGAAATTTATGTGACATGGGAATTAAAAATTCAAAACCCAAGGGGCCCCTACTTCCCGCTGTTCCTTCTGTCTCTGCAGGTCAATAAAAATAATTATATTAGATTTGATTTTCATTTAATAATTTGCATAATTTGACCCTAAATGGGGCCCCAGACCACACTGCGGTGGGTCGTTTGCTCGCTCTCTCGCTCTCCATAGAACGGTAACGGCTAACGGTGATTGCTGCAGCATGGCTGCCACTTTCTAGAGCTCCTTTTTGGCCCGACTCGGACTCCGACTCCGACTCGGTCTCGCTGCGCTTTAGTCTAATGATGTCAATTACATCGTGCCACTCGCAGCAGCATTGCGGACAACAAATGCATGCCACGCTTATAAGGCAGCAACAATGCGGCCTGCCACAACAGCTACAGCTACAGCAGCAGCGGCAGCAACAGCAACAGCAGCAGTAACAACAACAAGTGCCTGTGCCTGTGCCTGTGCCTCCAACTCTGGCTTCATTAAAATTGCTTTTCGTTTTGTCTACATCCATGTCCATGTCCCTCTCCTTCGCTCTCCGAACCGTTCGTTCGCCTTGTTTCCTTTTTCCATTCCATGCTGTTTTCATGTTCGTGGCTACTGGGAAATAGTTTAATGTTTTACCAACCAGCAGCAGCAGCATCAGCAGCAGCAGCAAACAATTTTAATGAGTTTTCACGAAATTGTACAAGCTCCCTGTTAAGGCCATGAAAAGCCAAAAACCAACAAAAAACCGAAACACCTCATATAAAACGCAACACATTTCGTATTTGTGTGATTAATTTTGTTGCCGATTTGTTAGTTAACAAGTCGCAAATGTGTGTTGGGGGAGGCAGAAGGAAAACTGCAGGAAAACCTTGGGAAAAATCCACACAGCAGCAGCAGCGGATTGTCTGAGGGAAACGTAGACGGAAGTGTTTGAAGCCGTAAATATGATATGTTGGGTATGCAATAAATGAGCTTTATATTCATTGATTTTCTTCTAAACTTTCCTAATCTTTGTAGACAAAATAAAGCGTATTTTCCGTGTCATTTATGAGTACTTAAGCACCCTTTATTCATCGCTCTGCTCCCCAATGGAATGGAATGAACTTCAGGCTTACAGTTTAATAATCATCAAATTTATGACTCAATTTTTGTACTGAGGCTGCGCTCCAAAATTTGGCCCAAGAGGAAAGACTCAACAAAATCGGTACCAAAATCGCTGTTGTCACGCCCACGTCGTTGCATGGCCAGGGGTTATGGTGGTAGAAATAAAAGCGGATCGGAGCAGGGATGGGGATGTGGATGGGGGCCCTTTTTACGCCCAATTTGTCACACATTTCAACAGGTTACGTGATGGAGAGGGAGATGGAAAAGGGAAAGGAGGAGAAGCAGAGGGCGGAGGCGCATTATCAAAACCCGAACGGAGAAGACGTTGACGAGGAACGAAGTAAACGTCTCTGGATGGATACCCACATACTGAGCTCTGGTCTGGGTGGAGCAGAGGGTCTCCGAGTCTGGACATGGACTTGTCTGTGGTTGGGTAGGCGTTTGTGGTGTGTGGAATTTTCGGGCATACCTGGCGGGCCTTATAAAGCGTGAGGAATTTCTTCTTACTGCATGATTCTCTGCCCTTCCCCCTCTGTTTGGTTCCCGGATCTGTGGGTCTGTGGCTCTGTGGCCTGTTGTCCTTTCTAAGTGAAAAATTATGCAAAAGTGTTTCATTTTAATAGCGGAAATCATTTATAGAAGTTGTAATAAAGAACCAGCGTGTACTCCTCGTCCCTGGATGGGTCCATGGATGGTCATGTTTTGTTGGGTTTTTTTTTTTTCGTTGATGTTGCACGTCCTTCCTCCTTCTTTGTGCTGTTGCCATTGCTGGTGCCCAGGGCTGAGTTTTGTGCTCGTTAAACGACCGCCAACGTAGCCCGAATGCAACAATGTTGCAACACTTTGTTATTGTGACAGTGGAGCAGTGGAGTGTCGGGTGGGTTAGGAATGGGAATGGGAATGGGAATGGGGATGGGGCCACATGGGGTACTGCGGCCATTCAAATGGAGTCCAACTTTAAGGCAAACTTTAGTTAGCGCTAATGACCTGACAAAAGGAATTCAAAGTGGTTCTTGTTCATGTTTTGGCTTGTGTGGTGTTGTTGTTTCTGGTAGTTGTTGACTTGTCCCCAGACTGCGCAGAATTAAACTGCAAGAGTTCCATTAGCTACAATGAGTGACAAAAGATCGGCCCAAGTAATTCCAAATATATTCCTTCTATTCCTTTATGAAATCATAACAAAAGATGCGTTTTCAGCTCAAAACATGTATATACGAAATATTTTCAAGAGCTCTAAAGGTATAACATACCTGTTCTTATAAGGTCGAAAATGTAAAAAATATATACTGGTGGGTGGCTTCGGGTTTCACTTACTTTTGAGTTTGGCATTTTCAGCCAAAAGATTCCGTTTTCGATTTTAGGTGCTCCCGTTTTCGCAATTTCTGTCAACGATATGTCTCATATTCTCATGTCCTTGTACAACAAGTCATCGATTTTTTTACTATTGCAGTTATGTTATGTTTTGTTTTATAAAAAGCAGTTTACTTTTCGTTTCGGAGGAAAATGTATCCGTATTTCCGTTTTCAAAAGTAAATCGGGTTTTTTTTTTGCGAAAGTGAAAGCCGGGGCATGCCTGATTGTTTGGATATTAACTCGTCTAAAAACTAAAGTGCACCGACTTTACATACATTTGACTTCATTTTATAAGATTTATAGTATTTAAAGAAGGAAAAAACCCGGCCAATTTTGGAAAGCATTTTATATGGAAAAATAAAAGACTTAAGGCACGAACTTGCAAAAAAAAGGGTGGGAAAATATATAAATATCATATAAAACATCGAAAGCACCATTACCGATATGACTTAATTTCTAAGAAAATTCCAGAGAAATACAAAAGACTTGGGACACGAACTTGCAAAAGTAAAAAAATTAAAGAAAAAACCTGTAATCTTTGAAGTGATTTGATGTAAAGCAACCAAATCATTTCCCATATGACTTCATTCCATGGCTAAATCAGTGCCAAACTCCCAATGGATAAGAAAAACTCAATGAAATGGGGAAAAAAGCGACTCATCTTTGCCTTCTGTCATTGCCGCTGCTGCTGTGCTCACACACGCAGACAGACAGACAGACAGAGAGACAGACAGACATAAACACAGCTGCCATAAAAACGACGGTGTACAAGTACAATTATAAAACCATCAAGGCATCTAAATTAGCTCATTTGGATCCATGGAACCGGGCTTCATAATCGTTAAAAGCCAAACAGCAGCAGGCAGGCAACAATAAGCAGACAGACACAGAAACTAATAATACGAGTAATAGTGCAAAAAGTGCAAAAGAGTAGACGGAGCAGAGGGAAAAGGCGAAAGAAAGAAAACATAACCAATAAAAGTAATAAAAGCAAACTGTTAAAAATGCCGCCACACAGGCGGCAAGGCAATTGATAAGCGTTTTATGACAGCAGCGATCTATAAAAGACAGAGAGAGCCTCCCAGAGAGGGAGACGGAGAGGTGAGCGGCGAGCGGGAGCGGGAGCCAGGTGAATGCATTACGGTTTATGAATTTTTTTATGCTCATTGATTTGGAAATTGCCGCGGCATTGAGTGCATCGAAACGGATCATAAAAATATCACAGAAGTGATCATAAATGCCGCCAACAAATTCCAATTGGAATGTTCAATGCCGTTCCAGTGTTTCTTCCACTCAATAAAATTGAAACGGATCAGATTCCAATGGACAAGCAGTGCAAAGCAGTGCAAGACTGTTCTAAAAAGAAGTACAGTCGTGGCTCTAGTGGCTCTAGATCTTTTAGAAGCCAGAAACAGTTAAATATCCTATGAGCGAAACAGAAGAGCAGTTGCATCAGTATCAGTATTTTTACTGTTCTCTGTATCGTTTCCTCATTAGAATTCCAAGCGCATAAGACACATTTCACCCGAATCGGGAGTAGAGGGAGTCAGTTTTTATATGTATGCATGTGTTTATACAGATTGAGTGCCTTTGGACCTGTTCCCGTCCGCTATGCTATCTTTTATCGTATGGGCCTGTGTAACCAATTTGTTCTCTCATTAGCATGCCATTGCTGTTGTGTTCGAGAGTGCACTGCCAGCGCATCCAATGAGTCAGTGGAACCAATGGAACTTTATTAGAATCATTGAGGAGAGAGTCCATGGAGCAATGGCGTTTGCGGTTAACCCGTCTGTCACTCAAGTCTTTTGTCATTGCGCGGCATAACATTTCAATTAAGGCCTCCAGCAGGCCTTACATATGGCTTCTAGCCGCAACGCAGCGAATACCCCTTGGAAACCTATTAAAAGACACACGGAATGCCACACAAAAGCAATTTCTATGCAAGAACAACAACAACAATAACAACAACGGTTTGGTTTGGGTCGGGGTCGGGGTCGGTCTGGGCTCAGGCTCTCTCAGATGTTACCAATTTCCGCTATAAGAAGAGATTTAATTGATTTGGCCAATTTGGGTTTTTTAATTACGATTTGCTGCTTGTTGCGGTGCCTGTGCCTGTGCCTGTTAATGTTTTCTGATGCGAACTTTCTCTAAGAAGAGTTTTGCAGCTACCGCAAACTCAATTAAATGATAACAAGTCCATCTGGGCGGTAGTCGGGAGTCGGGGCGTGGCCGAGCCCGTCCCAGACCAACGATGGCGATGATAGCCAGGCGCCGCTGGCAAGTGAATGGCGCAATCAGAATCATCTGGTCTCGCCAAACAGAATTCCCACTGAGCTCAGGCCACTGTGCGAAAAGTGCTACCCGGGAACAGGGCTGTGGTGGGCAGGCCACTGGGGAGAGACGAGACGAGACGTCTGCGGGCTCCACAAATTTATGGCCACATTCAATTGTCAAGTTTATGTGACTGCGACTGAGGATCGGGCCAATATTTGCATAAGAGGCGTCGTTGTCGGCGTTCGTCCCTTCACTGAAAAAAAAATCAACAACAATACAATACGAAACGTCAGAGTTTTGTGGATATTTTAAGGCCCAATAGATACAAATCTATGGCTTTCCCATGTGTGATATTTTACTAGATCATTTTTCTGTGTACATCTTAACAGAGGGGATTACTTTTGAAGAGATATTGGTACGAGTAGAACCATATTTTCCTAAATATTTCGTTGATATTTAACACAGATTATTCTTTTAGAGACACAAGTTGGAGCCTAAATATTTACCGAATTAATGCCGAAGATGAGGAATGCCTTGTCTTTTTTCTCTCAGTGTTTTTTTCCCTAGAATTCGCATTGGCATTTGAAAGCCCCCATTGTCAGTCTTCTCCTCTACTCCTCTCCGGCTGGAAGCTTTTGTTTTTGCTTTTACATTCCCGCCATCATTCTCTCTCTCTACCACCTCACTCTCCCTCTCACCGTCTCACCGTCTCACTCTCTCGCCGTCTATACATAAACATAATCTCCTCTGTTCTGTTCTGTTCTTTTCTTTTGTTGCAGAACGAAGGCGCTTTTTGATGGTATGATTCTACTTCTTGTGGCATACAAATGACGAATTATGAGAATCTTATAAATTTGCCATTAAATTTTAATGCAAATAATCATCATGCCAATAGTAATAGCGAGAACAATGCCAAAATTGCCGTCGCTGGCGAACAGCTTTTAAATAAGATGTCGCAGCGGGATTTCTCCGAGGTAAGTGGAAAAGGGTATCAAAATACCCATCATTATTTGGCATTCGGCAGCAGCTGGAAACCGTACAGAGATCCCTGTGCAGAGTATACCCCTTTCTCTCTCTGTCGCTCGACACGCACAAACATGTTTTGGCCATGTACATATGTACATGTTTCCAGTTTGCAGTTCAAACACCATGACAATTATTTATGGCCTTCAAATATATGTACATACATACATACATATGCAGGTATGTATGTACAATATAAAACTTAATCAGGCATTACGCTGCTCTGCTCTCCAAATTTAACCTCAAGAGGCAGAAAAGTTCAAAAAAGAAAAGAAGTCCCACAGAAAAACAGAAAACAGGAAAGCAGAAACAATCAGGCAATAATCAAAATGATGGCAAAATGATTTCAATGCTGATTAACTCAACAGCAGCGGCAAGACTACAAAAGGGCTTAGCTACAAGCAACAAAAACAACAACAAACAACAACAAAAAAAGAAGCAAAAACGAGCAGCCAAAATTAAACAAAAGCCAAGCAAAGCAGAGCAGCACAGACAGAGAGAGGGAGAGAGAGAGAGAGAGAGAGGGAGTGAACGAATCACGAATATCACATGAAGAAGCTTTAGATACCCTTGCCGATTGGATTCCATATAGAGCTGTCCTTCCATTCCATTATGTTGAAATTCAAATTACATATACATATATAGACGTATTTACACTGAGTTGATTTCGTAGATACCATTGTACCTTTTGTGAGGGTATCAAAGAATGCCAAAACGTAAGGCATTTTTGACTTGCACTAACCCCCAGCATAGCCCCAGTCCTGACCCTGACTCTGACTCTGGCCCTTTCATCATATTCCGCGCTGTCATGTCAGGGACAAAAAAACAAAACCCCAACAACAACAACAACAACAAGAACAAGCAGAAGAGGCTGAACAGACGACAACGTCAACGATGTTGGATAAGTTTCAGGCGCATGTCTCAAAGACAGATCCCTGGAAGCCACCCCCCTTCCCTGCCGGCTGGCAGTCGCCTCCCTGACTGACGTCCGTGTCTGTGTCCGCATTTCGAGTGGAGTGTCCCTTTGGCAGCTAGACGGACGATAGGAAATGCTTAAGCATAAACTGGGAGGAGCGCAGCGAAGGGGGAACTTAATTCGATTAAAGCTCATGTTTGAGGGGTTAACCAACAAAGCCACAATTCTTGCTGTTCAGTAGCGTAGGCAGACACGGCAGACAAAGGGGCAAAAGCTGCATAAATATCCGTCTTAATTTTATGCATCTTTTGAAGAGATTAGTCAGGATTAGGTCCACGTCCACCCCTGTGGCCTACGCTCATGAACATCGCATGTAGAAGAGCAGCAGAAGAGGGATGCCTACTGGAAACTGAATTGTCAATTAATGCTCTCCTTTTCAAGAGCTTACTCCGAATCAAGGTCACCCTTGCTCTCACTTACATGCGCTCCTTCCAACGGGATGTGCCTGGAAAGCTCTCATTCGCCGTCGCCTAAGCACAGCGTATCAAAAATCGTCAAAGCGAGCTGAAGAGAGAGGAATATCAGGAGCGGAGAGTGGGCGGAAGAGGGCCTAAGAGGAAGAGCCCGCAGCTAATTATTTTATTACGCGTTAAATTGCAACAAAATTCTTAAGTTGAGCGCAAAACATGCCAATGTGCGCCACAAGCAATCGTGAAATTGTTCGCATTCCAATGCGGCGGACTTTATCGATGGTCCGGGGTCCAGTCCCCAGTCCCCAGTGCCCAGTGACCAGCCTCGGGGGCCTCACAGGCACACTCTCTTACTCGCTCACACACACAGACACACACACACACACACACACAGATAGAGACAAACACAGAGAGGAGATGAACTTCCATTTGGTTCCAGGCAACAACCACTCGAAGCGAAGCGAAACCCAACTGCTGCCCGAATGCATCTATGGGTGCCACTTTTTTGTGGCGTTCTTTCTTCTTTTTTTTTATTATTTTTTTTTTAGCTCTTGCCTGTTGGGCGGACAACTGCCAACCGACAAACAGCGACCAGTTCTCGAATCGCAGGTTTTTCTCTTACATTCCTGAATACCTCTTTGGACTCACTTCCCATTGCCCCTCTATCTCGGTCTCCCTCTCTCTCTGTCTCTCTCTCTCTCTCTCTCTCTGTCGTTGGCTGCCTCCTCTTTTTCTCCCTTTCTCATTGCATAAAATTCTTGTCCGTCTTTGACTATTTTCTAAACTGCTGTTGGATGCTGCTGCTGCTGCCTGCCGTGGATGCTGCTTCCAATTTAGCTGGAATTGTTGAAGCGAGATAGCAAGCGTATCATTTTACATGACTTCTCTATGTGCCATTTGGGCGCCAATTCCTAAATTGACATACAGCATGGCACGAGGAACGCGAAGGCGAAGCTAAAGGGCAAAAAAGCGCGAAGGAAAGGCAGTATATAGAAGCCGTTGTTGTGGATACACTTTCTGGACGATGGTATTATGTACAGGGATATTGATCTGATATCTGAAGAGCCAAAGGGATTAACATCGAGTAGATTCGATCCTTCTTCGGTATAGGGTTTCAGGAAGATAACTGTACAGAGACGCATCAAAGATATGTTTCCATGGAAATGGATAAAAGCCGCCTGCCATGCCATCAGTCGCGCACACCATGTGGAATTTAAACGAATAGAAAGGCAACTCTGGGATTTTGGAAAGCTTCACAGCCTGCACTAGAAACAGTAAAAGGATAGGAGGGGGAAAAGAAGAGACCATGTCATATCCAGACCCAGTCAGAATTCATTCCCACAGTTTGAAGGGAGCTTATCCCAAAAGCTTATCCGGTCGCTGCCTAAGCTGTGCTCTGGCTGATTCTGGATCGCATTTGGTATACCTTTCATTCTATGTGCCTCTCGGATCTGCCTGCTATTAATATTATTATTATTTTCGTCGGGGAAATGATAACATCTGCTAATACTCTAGAGAATGCTGGTCCATGCAGAGGCAGAGAGAGAGAGAGAGAGAGCGGCGGCGCTCCCTTCCGCCGTTTCGAGGGCATGTTCTGTGCGTGTTTATTTGACTTTGACTTTGACTTTGACCACCACAATCTTCTCCCCGAGATCACTGCCTGGCCTTCCAGCACCGCCAACGCATGGAACTGCAGGGGGAACGATCTTGTACATTTCGCAAAGAAGGAGAGTTTTGGGGCTCTTTTGTGGTAACGCCCTCTTCATTTGTGGCTTATCGCCGGAGCTCTGAGCTGAAGACTTGGCTGGCTCTTATAAGCTGCATAAAACGAAAATTACGTTCTGCATCTGTCAGATACTTTGTTGTTGCCTGATTTATACGCCTGGCGGAGACCGTGCAGCGGTCGAGAGCGTCCAGAAGGCCAATCTAAGCACGTTATCCGTAGCTCACGCCCCGCCAGCGACAGGCGCGGCACCGACGGACCGGGGTATGGGGCATGGGGCATGGGGCATCCACATCGACACTTGTCGGGCACGTTTTCTAGGAAGCCACAGCGGGACCTGGCCATGGCCTCGTCTCGTATCGGGCTAATGCATTTGCATACTCATTGCATTTAATTGCTTCAAAAAATATGTAAAAAATTCTACGTCGTTGTCACGGTCTCGTCTTGTCTTGGTCTCATCCAGGCCGTGGCCGTGGCCGTGGCAGTGGCCGTGGCCGTGACCACAGCCATTGGTGGCTTATGCCAAAAATGGGCCTCAACTCTAGCACTCCGACACTTTTTCCTATGCGCGCTGCTACTGATTCGACTGCTGCCCCTGCCCCTGTCCCTGCGCCTGCGCCCGCCCTCCCCAGACCAACTGCTGCTGCCAGTCGTGGCTCAGTTCTTGGGCCACGAATTCGTGGAATTGCTTCCGCATTTGATGAGCGGCGGCGGGTGGCAGGCAGAGCGGGGGCCGAACAGGATCGGGAGCTGGGAGCGAACAGCAGTTGGCCGGGAAACGTGACTCGGTGGCCGCATACCTGAGCACCACCACCGCGAGAGGGCACTAAGGCTTGGAGCCGCAGTTGGAGCCGACGCTGGTGCGTCGGCATTTAACATAATTACAACCCACTGACGACCGCACAGTGGGGCAGGGTTCAAGGATATTGGAGATATATACATATGGATCCTTGTACAGAAATACCTTTCTACCATGAGAGCTGTTTGGGAGGAAGGAAAACAGAATAACATTTTAGGCATTTTTAATTAATTTAAAAACAAAATTCATGTTTACTTTTTTTTTGTCTTTTTTAATTTCTTTAAAATGTATATTTTGTATTTTTGTATATTTGGTTTATTTTTTGGGCAACATTTTTTCATTTCTTTCACCGATTAACGAATTTGACTCCAGAACATGCCACTTTTGACCCACTGTTCAGCATTCCAATGACTGCGGCAGATGTGTGCAATCATCCTCGAGTCTGCCCCCGATCCTTGCTCCCCTCCATCTCCTCTGTACAGTTGTGTTTATTGCTCTACTTAGAGGCAGTCGCAGTCGCAGTCGGCAGGGAATGCTCAAGCCAGCAATTTGGCCATAATCAATGCTAACTCTGATCCACCGCTCATCCTTAAACCTCTCTCTCTCTCTCTCTCTGTTTCTGTCTCCTCCAGAACGAACCGGAATGTAATCCGGAGCTGCCTGCCGCGAACCGCGCCCTCTTCCTGGAGAAGGTGCGCCAATCGAATGCCGCCTGCCAGAACGGAGACTTTGCCACCGCGGTGCTGCTCTACACGGACGCCCTGCAGCTGGACCCCGGCAACCACATCCTCTACAGCAACCGTTCGGCGGCGCTGCTCAAGCAGGGACAGTTTGCGGCTGCCCTTCAAGATGCCACGCAAGCGCGGGAGCTGTGCCCCCAATGGCCGAAGGCGTACTTCCGCCAGGGCGTGGCTCTGCAGTGCTTGGGACGCTACGGCGAGGCACTGGCATCCTTTGCCTCGGGCCTGGCCCAGGAGCCCACGAACAAGCAGCTGATGGGCGGATTGGTGGAGGCTTCGTTGAAGAGTCCCCTGCGGACAGCCCTGGACCCGACGCTGCAGCAACTGAGGACGATGCAGCTGCAGGAGTCGCCGTTTGTGGTCAGTTCGGTGGTGGGGCAGGAGCTGCTGCAGGCCGCACAGTACCAGGCAGCGGTGGCCGTGCTGGAGGCGGCTCTCCGGATCGGCAGCTGCTCGCTGAAGCTGCGGGGATCCGTCTTCAGCGCCCTCAGCTCCGCCCACTGGGCACTGAATCAGCTGGATCAGGCCATTGGCTACATGCAGCAGGATCTGGCGGTGGCCAAGTCCCTGGGCGACACGGCGGGCGAGTGCCGGGCGCACGGGAACCTCGGTTCCGCCTACTTTAGCCAGGGGGCCTACAAGGAGGCCCTGACGGCGCATCGCTATCAACTGGTGCTGGCCATGAAGTGCAAGGACACGCAGGCGGCAGCCTCGGCCCTCACGTCGCTGGGACACGTGTACACGGCCAGCGGGGACTTCCCCAACGCCTTGGCCTCCCACAAGCAGTGCGTGCAGCTGTTCAAGCAGCTGGGGGATCGTCTCCAGGAAGCCCGCGAGATCGGCAACGTGGGCGCCGTCTATCTGGCGCTTAGCGAGTGCGAGGCGGCCCTCGACTGCCACACGCAGCACCTGCGGCTGGCCCGCAAGCTGCACGACCAGGTGGAGGAGGCGCGAGCGTACTCGAATCTCGGCTCCGCGCATCACCAGCGGCGACAGTTCACGCAGGCTGCGGCCTGCCACGAGCAAGTGCTGAGGATTGCCCAGGCCCTGGGAGACCGTTCTATGGAGGCGGCCGCCTATGCGGGCTTGGGGCATGCGGCACGCTGCGCCGGCGATGCAAATGCCTCGAAACGCTGGCACGAACGGCAGCTGGCGATGGCCCTGGCCGCCAGGGACAAGCTGGGCGAGGGCAGAGCCTGCTCGAATCTGGGCATCGTCTATCAGCTGCTGGGATCCCACGATGCGGCGCTGAAGCTGCACCAGGCCCATCTGGGGATAGCCCGCTCGCTGGGCGATCGCACGGGCATGGGCAGGGCGTACGGGAATATGGCGCGCATGGCCCACATGGCCGGATCCTACGAGGCGGCAGTGAAGTACCACAAGCAGGAGCTGGCCATCAACCAGGCGGTGCATGATCGCAGCGCAGAGGCGGCCACGCATGGAAATCTGGCAGTGGCCTACCAGGCACTGGGCGCCCATGATGCAGCGCTCACCCACTACCGGGCGCACCTTTCGACGGCCAGGTCTCTCAAGGACACGGCCGGGGAGGCCTGTGCTCTGCTGAATCTCGGTAACTGCCTCAGCGGGCGACAGGAGTACGAGGAGGCGGTGCCCCACTACGAGAGCTACCTGATGCTCGCCCAGGAGCTGGGGGACGTGACCGCTGAAGGCAAGGCTTGTCATCTGCTGGGATACGCGCACTTCTCGCTGGGCAACTATCGGGCAGCGGTGCGCTACTACGACCAGGACCTGGCCCTCGCCAAGGACGCCCAGCATCGTCCGAACATGGGCAGGGCCTACTGCAATCTGGGGCTGGCGCATCTGGCGCTGGGACACACTGCCGCCGCACTCGAGTGCCAGCAACTGTTCCTGGCCGTGGCACATGCCACCAACCAGCTGCCAGCGAAATTCCGGGCTCTGGGCAACATCGGGGACATCCTCATACGCACTGGCTCCCACGAAGAGGCTATCAAACTGTATCAACGGCAGCTGGCACTGGCCCGGGCAGCGGGCGACCGTTCGATGGAGGCCGCTGCCTGTGGAGCGCTCGGACTGGCCCATCGTCTGATGCGGCGCTGGGACAAGGCACTGGGACATCACACACAGGAGCTGACACTGCGCCAGGAGCTGTGCGACCTGGCGGGAGAGTGTCGCGCCCATGGGCACCTGGGGGCCGTCCACATGGCCCTCTGCAGCTGGACGAATGCCGTCAAGTGCTACCAGGAGCAGCTGGAGCGGGCGCAGGAGCAGCGGGATGCTGCCGTGGAGGCACAGGCCCATGGGAATCTGGGAATAGCGCGCCTCAATATGGCCCACTACGAGGCGGCCATTGGATGCCTGGAGGCGCAGTTGGGGACTCTGGAGAGGGTCTCCTTGCCATCCACGCAGGCGGATCGTGCACGTGCTCTGGGTCATCTGGGAGACTGCTATGCGGCCCTCGGGGACTACGAGGAGGCACTCAAGTGCCACGAGCGCCAGCTGCAACTGGCGTTGGGGCTGGCCAGTCACCGGGATCAGGAGCGTGCCTATCGGGGATTGGGACAGGCCAGACGCTCGCTCGGGCAGCTGCCGGCGGCTTTGGTCTGCTTGGAGAAGCGTCTGGTGGTGGCCCACGAGCTGCACAGTGCCGAGATCAAGGCTCTGGCCTACGGGGATCTGGGGCATGTCCATGCCGCTTTGGGGAACCACACGCAGGCCCTGAACTGTCTCGAACATCAGCGGGAACTGGCGCAGGGGCTGCAGGATCGCGCCCTCGAGTCGGATGCCATGTGCGCCCTGGGCCAGGTGCAGCAGCGGATGGGCCAGCACTCGGAAGCCCTCGATCTGCACCGACAGGATCTGCAGATATGCACGGATCTGGCGGCTCCCTCGCTGCAGGCTAGGGCACTCAGCAATCTGGGTGCCGTGCACGAGTCCCTCGGCCAGCAGGCGGAGGCCCTCAAGTGTTACGACCGGCAGCTGGAGCTCAGCGCGGATCGTCTCGGCAAGGCGACGGCCTGCCTGGCCCTTGGACGCGTCCATCATCAGCTGGAGCAGCACCCACAGGCCGTGGAGTATCTGCGGCAGGGACTGACGAGCGCGCAGTCCATCGGCAAGTCGGAGGAGGAGGCCAAGATAAGACATCAATTGGGTGAGTGGCTGCTGGCAATTGCTTTGTTAACAATAAGTCTAGACTTAGATTCGTGTTGATGCATGCAACAGCCAGAAGGAATATATATATTCTTGATCCCCATCAATAGCCGAGTCCGTCTGTCCGTCCTGTTTGACTTCTGTTTGTTCCGCTCCCACGCGCCCACGCACTCTATCTATTCCGCTCTCTATTTCTCGCACTCTTTCTCGTGCAGCGTGTGCCCCACGCCGGAGTGAGCGAGATGGTAATTCGTTGGTGGCAAGAGAGAAACAGAGAAAGAGTATTAGGCCACAATGAGGCGAACTAGCACAAAATCATTCAATAATTGATAATCATTGAAATTTCTTTACCCAGGTCTTGCCCTTCGCTCCTCTGGCGATGCCGAGGGGGCTCGCCTTCAACTGGAGACCGCCGCCCAGCTGCTGGAGGCCGTGCGTCACGAGCAACGCAGTCCGGAGACGCGTCTGGCCCTGTACGATCTGCAGACGAACTGCTACCATCTGCTGCAGCAGCTGCTGGTGGCCCTGCAGCGCAACGAGGAGGCCCTGGTGGCCGCCGAGCGGTGCAAGGCTCGCGGCGGAGCAGATGCCATGGGCAATGAGAGCAACAAGGCGCCGCTGGCGGACAGCGAGGCCATCCAGGAGACGGTGAATCGCGGACGGATGCCGGTGCTGTACTACAGTCTGGCCGGGGAGCAGCTGTTTGCCTGGCTGCTGCATCCCCAGACGGGGATTGTGCGCTTCCATGCGGCCCGCATCGATGCCCAGACTCTGCAGCTGCCATTGTCCCTCAGCGAGGAGGAGGAGGAGGAGCTTGAAATGGAGGAGGAGGAGAGGGAGCAGCCGCAGGGCGATGGACTGCTCGAGCGATATGTTAACATGGTGCGGGATAACCTGGGCGTCAACTCCCAGAGCCTGCTGCACGAGGGCGACGGCAGCGGGTGGCGGGCCAGCACGGAGCAGCTGCTGGAGGATCTGCCCGGAGCAGGAGCCGGAGGAGGCGGCTTTCTGCGCATGGTCAGCAGGAATCAGCTGCTCAACTCTTCCAATTATTCCCTGAGCTCCCTGTTCTCCCTGGGCTCCGTTGGAGGCTCGGTGGCCAGTCTGCAGGGCTCCACGCGCTCCGTGGGCAGCCGCAGTTCCCGTCGGGCGCCGCCTGTGCCCGCCTGGCGGGGACCCTCCTGCCTGCACACCCTCTACAACTTGCTGCTGGCTCCCTTCGACGACCTCCTGCCCTCGGCCAATCTCTCGCGACAGGGCAGGCGTGAGCTCATCCTCGTGCTGGACAGCTCCCTGTATCTGGTGCCCTTCGCTATCCTGAGGGCGGCCGGGGAGGACGGGGAATATCTGTCGGAACGCTGTGCCATTCTTACGGCTCCCTCCCTGCAGGCGCTGCGCAGCCGACCCAAGGTGCGGCGGGATCGGGCTCGTCCTCCCAAGGCTTTGGTGGTGGGAGGTCCTCGTGTACCCGGCAGTCTGGCGGAACGCTGGGGCTGGGCAGGTGCTGAGTCGCCGGCAGCCCTACAAGAGGCCGCCATGGTGGCGGACATGCTGCAGGCCACCGCTTTGGCCGGCTCAAATGCCACCAAGGAGTCCGTCCTGGCAGAGCTTCCCTCCGCCGAATGCATACACTTTGCAGCCAATATAAGCTGGCAGCTGGGCGCCGTGGTGCTCAGTCCTGGGGACGTGGTCACCGCCGAACAGCAGCAGCAGAAGGAGCCGCACGAGCCCCAACTATCGGACTTCACTTTGGCCGCCGGAGAACTGCGGCAGCTGCGCCTTAGCGCCCGTCTGGTGGTGCTCAGCTCTTACCACTCCGTGGAGCCCATCACGGGGGCCGGAGTGGCCCATTTGGCCGGCGGCTGGCTGATGGCTGGTGCCGGCGCCGTGCTTATTTCTCTATGGCCCGTCCCGGAGACGGCAGCCAAGATCCTGTTGCGTGCCTTCTACTCGGCTCTGTTGCAGGGAGCACGAGCTGCACGGTAAGCTCCTGCTACGATTTATCATCCTTCATATTTAATGGAATCCTCTCTCCTTTGCAGCGCCCTGGCAGAGGCCATGCAGACGGTGCAGCACACGAAACACTTTGCCCATCCGGCCAACTGGGCGGGATTCCTGCTGGTCGGCAGCAATGTGCGGCTGTCCAATAAGGTGGCGCTGGGCCATGCCCTCTGCGAGCTTCTGCGCACGCCAGAGAGGTGTCGGGACGCCTTGCGGGTGTGCCTGCATCTGGTGGAGAAGAGTCTGCAGCGGATCCATCGCGGGCAGAAGAATGCCATGTACACGACGCAGCAGAGCATTGAGAACAAGGCGGGTCCCGTGGCCGGCTGGAAGGATCTGCTGATGGCTGTCGGATTTCGCTTCGAGCCCGCTGCCAATGGCATCCCCTCGAGCGTGTTCTTCCCGCAGGCAGATCCCGAGGAGCGGCTCTCGCAGTGCTCGGCCAGTCTTCAGGCTCTGCTGGCCCTGACGCCGGCTACGCTTCAGGCGCTGGCCAAGCTGGTCCACGTAAACAGTGCCGAGCATGCGGACGACATCATTGCCGTGATCCGGAACATTCTGGCCCAGTTTCCCCCGGCCGCCGTCACCAGTACAGCAGCAGCTGTGGGTGCCATCAAGCAGGAGGAAGCCTGCTGCATTGAGATGCCGTTGAGTGTGCGCCTGTGGCGCGTGGCAGGATGCCATGAACTGCTCGCCTCCGTGGGCTTTGATCTGACCGAGGTGGGGGCTGATCAGGTGATCCTCCGCACGGGCAAGCAGGCCAATCGTCGTCACTGCCAATTCGTCCTTCAGGCACTTCTTGCCTTGTTTGGTGAGTACTTAGATGAGTTTTTGCTGGGAGTAATCCTCTTATTAAGCTATATGTATATATACCCCTTCAGACACTCGAGAGGCACCCAAGAACCTAGGCATGGGCATGGACTTGGAATCGGCGCAGAGCAGCAGCTGCGAGTCGCTGGCCGAGACGGAGATGGATGCCATCACACCTGTCCAGCCCACGGCCAGCAGCACTCCCTCCGTGAGCTCTGGGAAAGCTCCGCTGCCATTGCATCCGCGCAGCGCCTTCATCTCGTATGTGCGGCGTCGCGGGGAACCAGATGGCGGACGCACAGAGGTGACTGTAGGATCAGGAGGTGGAGGAATTGGAGGTGGCTTGGACTCCAGCCTGGCCAACACTACCGACAGCGAGCATTCGCTGTCCGATGGCTATGCCACACAGCCGGGCCTTGGATTTGCCAATCCGCGCCTCGGCTATGCCAGTATGCGTGCCCCTGTGAGGGTATCACGGCCAGGCGGTGGCGGAGAGAGCGATGCTGCCTTTACCCCCAGTCCTCCTGTCACAGATCCCAGCCTGACGCTGGCCCTCGCCCACCAGACACGCATCAGGAGTCTCTATTCCCAGCCGACAACTGTGGCGAATTCAGCATCCGCCGGAATGGTTGGGAGCAGCGTGAACAACAGACGACCGGATAGCTCCAGCTCGGCCAGCAGCACCACAGACTGGGAGGGATCCGGACATGCGACGGTGCTGCGACGCGGAGCCGGAGTGGCAATGCCCCAACAGCAGCCACCTTTGCCCCCGCCACGGCCGCCAGCCTATCACAATTTGGGTGTGGGCATCGGAGGACGCAGCAAGCCCAAAATCAAGCTGGGAAGTGCCCAGAGTTCACTGGCAGCGCGGGTAAACAAGGAGCACGCTCTGTTTATGGACAGGCTGAGTGTGCGGACGGAGCTGAGTGCTCCGGGAGGCAATCCCATAGGAGCTGGAGCAGCGGCCACCAGAAAACCACTGGCCCTGCCCGAGGAGGAAGAGGTCTCCAGTGTGGTATTCAATCCAGCTAGCCTGTACTTCTCCCAAACAGACACCGACCTGTTGTTGAGCGAGCCCAAGCCGGAGGAGAGTCCCACTGCGGCCAAGACGAGCTCCAAGTGCCTGCAGGAGAGCATGATGCGTCATATAAACCGCGAGCTGACACCCAGTATCTCAGAGCTGTATCATGAGCGCAATCTGGGCCTGGGACTGGCCCCACCGCTCTCCAAGCTGCTGCTCAGCCCCAACTACGAGGAACAGGAGGGTAACGGCATGGGCGAGGGCTGTCAGCAGTCCTCCGCCGGCCTGAAAACCCTAGTGGACGCGGTCAACGAGCTGGAGTTGAGTGGCAGCTCTTCGGGGGCCACCATGCCCACTGTGGTGGGTGGAAGCAACGAGGTGGAAGGCACATCCGGCGCCATTACCGCCGCGGACCGCGCCACCTGCCCCATTTGCGGTGAGCATGCGGATGTTATCTGCCGCTGCAAGGCTGCCACCATTCAAAAGAAGAGCAGTCTCAAGCCCTGGCTGAGCAATGTCCCCGCCAGCAGTATGGTCCAGGCCAGCGAGCTAACCACAGCGGACATTCTGGAGCGACGCCTAGAGATACACACGAGCAACGCGGGGGCACCCTTTGCGGCAGAACTATGTCGTCGCGACGAGGGTGACGGTCGCTCTGTAGCAGACTCCCAATGCAGCAGCAACTACAAGCGAGTGCTGGCCAGCGCCTCGGGTGGGGCCATGGGACTAGTGGACATCGGCAATGGCAGCTCAGCGGAGCCACAAAGCGCTCCTTCGGCGGCCACCTGCTCGGCTGCTCGTCTGGTCTAGATTTGCTTGATACTTAGCTATATTTATTATTATATTTACGGAATGCCTTTTATGAATTTTTTGTATCTTTATAACCAAGCCACTGATTAAAAAGTACTCAATTATTTAAACCATTGTGAAATAAGGTCATCCCTAAGCTAAGAAACTTTATACAATTAGGTTATCTATTTAGCACAAATATAAAATGTTTTATGGAAAACCTGCTGTTTATTTAAAGCACCAGGCTATACTCAAGGGGAGAGAGACTCTTGTAGTCTCCAATTTGTACTCGTTTATTTTACGGACTGGGAATGTAGTCTGCCTAAAACGGACAAGAAATCCATCCTCCACTCAGTCGGATATGTAATTTAGGTTTTTGTTCCTCTAAAATTCCTAGTGTCACAGATGGAGTCTATATACGCTATGTATGCATGTGTTTGCGGGGGGTCTCCAAAACGGGAAGAGGGGAAATTGTTAAATGAAGACATTTTCTCGGATTTTGTAACTAATGTAACTAATTTTATTTTGTTTACTTAGTTTTTACAGGTTTCAATAATTTATGTTTTGTGTGTGTTTTATCATCAAGTTGTAAATGAATTTTTATGCCTTATATTTTGTATATATATGTATATATGTATGCATATATAGCATATGCAAATATATAGCTGCATTTTGTGTGTGTGTGTGTGGGTGTGTGTTTTGGGGCGGGTGGTTTTGTATATATAAATATGTATGCCTGGATTTTTCACTTTACAATCTTAAATGTTAACTACGCAAAAAATGGTTGGTTTTCCCATGTGTCTGTGTGTTTGTGTGTGTGTGCCATTGAATATGCTGCAAGACAATTCTACAATAAACTTTAATTTAATGTATATATAACTACATTACATATATAGCTACAATATATTTATATCAATGTGTATATTCAAAATGTGAAATAAAAAAAAAAACTTTATTTAAAAATATGCGTTCTTTTTTTGTTTAGTTTATAATTTATGCTCCCTCTTTCGTTCCTTTCCTTATTATCGCGCCATTCATTTTCATTTCCTTTGTTGGCCTTATATTTAATATAAACCTTTTTTTCTTTTTTAAATATATTTTTTATGCATATAATGGATCCTTTTTGCGTATCGTAAATTGTATAAATTACTAATATAAATTAAGCACACGATAAATTGCAGCTGCTTCAAATGCATCCATCTCTTGTCCTAAAGACACGATTCATTTTCTGTGCAGCATCAAATCATTCACATATAATACCCATAATCAATATTCCGTTATTTATTATGCACTTTTTACAAAACTGTTGCCCCATTCTATATAATACTCTAGTCATAGAAAAAAAAAAATAAATTAATGAGTAGCAATTAGTGGGTAAGCAAAGCTGGCTCTAGGCTAACACAAATATAACACCCTAGGGACTACAGGAATCGGTAAACTGGATTCCGTTCGTCTTTAGCTAAGCAGTCGAAAAAATTAAGCAGCAATCGTACGATCATTCGATCCATAAATTAGATTAGTTCATTTGTGGCTTTGTGGAAGTACATTTAAATTATACTCTTTCGTAGTATCTATGCCAAGTAGAGTGTACAAGTGTTTTTTTGTCAAAAAAGAAAATCCATGTCCGCGAACCCGTTTGTACAATACACTCGAATATAAATATCCATTTTTATGTCTCAATCAGAAATTAATTCTGTGATCTCTTCTTTGCCATTGAAGCTCCTTTAACTCCACTCCTTTACTTTTCCTATACTAATATTTGTATGTACCTTGCCTCCTGCAGCAAGTATTTTGGTTGGTTTTTGCTTAGTTATCTGATCAATTCGTGCCTATCCGTAAAGATCTTAGTCAAAGTGCTGCACATTTTTACTCGTGGCTTGAAGACCTCAAAAAAAGTTTGTGTGTGCCATGTTTTTTGTTTGTTGGTTGGTTTGTTCCATTGCCCTTATCAGTTTTGTAATCTTAAACGATATTTAACATCTTGTTGGTTTAGGTTTTAGAATTTAACACTATACACTATAAAGAGGATACTTAAAATATTGCGACCATCGTGTTTTTTTTTGTCTAGTTTAGTTTTGTAGTTGCTTTTCTTGTAGTTGAAGGTTTTTTCTCTTTTGATTCTGTATGCCTTGGTCAGTAAGTGGTGTCTGGTGTCTCGTGGTGTTCGTGTGGGTGTTGTTGTAGTAGTCTTTCGAGATCCAATATCCGATGATCCCCATCAACGCAGCTGATTTCTGTGCCATACAAAAAAATACAGATACATTTAAACACATATATATATATATATATTATAGATTAGCTCCAAGTTTAAAGTATGTTATGTGTTATTCTCAGTGGGGGGAGAGAGGGGGGGAATGCAGTGGAGTTCAGTGAATGAATGGTGAAATGTACTAACTTCTCACATAAAATCATGAAAGGACGTTGCGCAACTTAAAGTTCGCTTAGTTTCTGGATGTGCTCGAGATGCCATACGTTGTCTCTGCTATTGTTCTGGTTCTGGTTGTTGTTCTTGTCGAGGATGATATTATGGAGTGTTTGTGGAAAACAAAATGTAAAACGTTTGAACACAAAAATCACACAAAGCATTTCCTCACGGCCTCAGGGGGTGGGTGGGCCAGGGAGTATGTTCTTTGTTCAGTTGCTTGGTCTCTACAATTGCCGCCTGTCCACTTATCTGGGCCGTTGTCTGTGGGGATGATATAGAGAGAGGTGGTTGATGATAAAACGGAAACGAAAGCACAAACTCAAGATAATGATTAACCCAAATGTCAATGAGGTGGAGGAGAATGGGGCCTGGTTTGAACTTGAATTTGGATTTGAGTGGGGATATTGACTCACCTAAAGTATTGATCGTGCAGCGATTGTCGCTGGAACTCGGCGGCCTGCAAATACTGTATATATGTAATTAATGAGTTAGGATATTAATTTTGGATTTGGGAAACCTGTAGTTGATCGGCATAGGACATGCGCAGCAGGACATCCGAGTGCGGCTCCCTAGGTATAAGCATATTTGGGCGTGGATATTGGCCAACATTCGCTGCAGTAAGTAAGTAGCACGACGGTAAAGGAGAAAGAGTAGAGAAAATATCAGTTATTGGTGTACTTATTAATGGAAACAGAGCAGGGGTTTGGGGGGAACCTCTTGAGGCTATACAAACTCACGTGGCAGTTGGAAACCGGCCTCCGGTGGTTGCGGCTGTGGATGCAAAGGCAAATGTAAATGAGTATGAGAGTGTGCATGATATTCTCTCGTCAATCGTATCTGAAAATTATTGAATATCGTAGAAAGTTTCAAAAGAGAAGAGCCAGTGCTGCATTTGTGGAATGCCAACAGTAGAAGATTGGTTGGTTTTTTTTTTTTAATGTATTTTAATGCGTTGTTTTGAGTTTTTGTTGAGTTAGATGGCGGGTTAGATGGCGCGACTGATGGTTAGGCGCCTCCCCCCAAGTTAGAGAAGAGGCAAGCATGGCATGGCAAAGAGTATGGTTAGCACAAAAATGAACACAGCATGACAGACAGTACTCGTACACGTGCTGGGTATGGGGTTTTGGTTTTGATTTTGATTTTGATTGGATTGGATTGCAACTTGGAAGACTTATAGCATCGCTGCTTATGTGGTTAAACATGTTTGTGAGAGATAGCTGACAAAGTGGACAACAGAGTGATTCGATTTGTGGTTTTGTGGTTCGTTCCAAATACGATTGATCTTGTGAATATGAATATGGAATAATAGTAGTATAAAAAGAAGTGTGGCCTACCATACGCACCATGTGCTCGCCCGGATCAAGGCCTACGTGATGCGGTGGCGGTATACCCAAACGTTCCCTCTCCATCTGCGATATCGCCGGATTCGCATAGAGTGGGAACTGTGAGGGATGTATGCCGCTGCAAAAATACAAGAATATACATGTATTAATAAACAATATTAATGAAGCATAAATGATGATAACCAACCGTCTGTAGTACTCCATCCAGTGCGGATCGAGGCGGGATTGACTCGCCGCGGCGGCTTGTGCGTTCTTGATCTCTTCCAGTTCCCTGCAATAAGTCGAAATACACCGAATGAGCACGGGGATGGATGTAGGGGCAGTCCAGCAATAGGATATATCAATGTGTGTGCGTGTGTTGGTTATGGCATGGAGTGGGACGGTGCATTGGCAAACGATAATCAACACAAGCGTGAATTTTGACGGCTTTTGGGATACCAAATCATAAAGATTTCTTAAAAAGCTGCGGGGGCTGGGATAGGAGGTTGTGGTGGGGTTTTACTATATCAGTGCGTTTCAGAAATTATTTTAAAATATAACTGAAAATATGTATGATCATTTAAATCAGTTATGGAATATTATGGAAAGCAATCGATGCTTTGAATTTTGCTATGGCTACGCTATCCCTTTCACGCGCTTACTAATTCTCTCTCTCTCTATCACACACATTAATCCTCGAGCAGTGTGCGCCCCTCGCGGAGGAGAGCGAAATAGCAACACAGCTGGTGTTGCTGTGAGAAGCGTAAGGTAGAGAGAGTCAGATGTAGCGGAATACAAGACAGTACAGGAAAAATGGAACAGATAAAATATTCTAAAATTCGAATAAAATAGGTCATTAGGTGGTGCAACAATCAACATTAGAAGATAACTAGCGGTCGTGGTTCCTCTCTTTCTGTCTATGTTTTTCCCATCTCTCATGACAAGTGCGAGCAAAATTGAGAGAGATCGCGGAGAGATCTTTGTAGAACATCGATACCAAAAGACAGAGAAGGAGAGAGGTAGAGAGAGAGAGCATGCGGCATTTTTTTTTGCATTCTCGGGCAGGAAGTTCTCTTCACTTTAAAACCTTTCGCTTGTGCTTCTGGCTGGCGTAGTTTGTCGAAGAATACATTTTGAAGCAATGGTAGAGGTTTGGATGGGATCAATGGGTCTGGTAGTCACGAACAGGGTTAGATCTCCCATTTTTTTGAGTTGAGTATCGAACAATATCATCATATCCATTTATAATCCATATACTTCTTTTACTCATTAACTTTCAATCGATTAAAGTTGATTCTTATGTTCTGTAACGCACTGTTTCTTATCAATTTCTTTTGGACAAGAACTCCATTATGAGGATGTGTGTTTAAGGTATATGTGGAGATGGAGGAGTTGGATGAATGGTTGTATTGGGTGGGTGGGTGTATTGGTGCATTATGGTGCAGTTGAGTCGATCTTTCAGGCTTTTTTGTGGTACTGTACCTCTCTCTGTACATGGGGCCCATTGGATGATGATATGGCACCATCTGCTCAACAGGACTGAAATTGAATATTGAAATAATTACAATCAAGAATCAACGTCACTCAACGGACTCTCACAACATAAAGAAAGAGCAAATGGGGTAGGGAAAAGAGGGGAAAAGAACTGAAACGGAATCCTAACACCAGAGGCTGAAGAAGGAAGAAGAATAGTAGAGTCACTTCGTCCAGCATCACTCACCTGAAGGCGACATGGGGGCGTGCGTATTCGGAGAGTTGTCGCAGGGCTGGCGTATCTGCATACGGGGGCTTTAGTTCCGCCTTCATTTTGGCCTGCTGGGCCGCCTGTTGAGCGGCTGCTGCCTGCTGTTGTTGCTGCTGCTGTTGCTGTTGTTGCTGCTGCTGTGGGCACGGATCGAATTGGTTTATTAGCTGGATCCTCTAAAGGTTCTACTCTGCTTCGCTCCACTCACCTGCCGCCGTTCGCGCTCCTTCTCGGCCAGCTTGCGATCCCGTTCCTCCCGTTTTCGGGCTAGCTTCGAGTCGGCCACCGGCTTGAAAATCAAATCCGTTCTCGTGCAGGAATTGTAATCTCCGCGATCGATGTGCCGGACAAATCTATCAAGGAATTTCGAAGATTACAATCTTTTTCAATCGAGTCTCCAGTCTCTGGGGATACTCACATGGCAGACTGGGAGCGATGGCATTCGGTGTCGTCCGGCTTAGCCTCGGGACTGGGACCACGTTGTATATTGTGCGTGGGACTGGGTATATCTGGCTCCGGATCCGGCTCAATGTCAATGGGCACTGCAAGAACAGGGAATACATGCTGTAAAAACACCTTCTTTAACCACTGTCGACTCTCCATCTTACATGGCTCCGTTGGATGATGGCCTCCGCCCATGCCGGCCGAGTTGGCCGAGTGCGCGTGTGCTCGCAGGGCATCCATGTGGGAAGTGGGCTTCATGCCGTGCGGCTGACCATCTTGCGGGGCAAAAGGCGAGCCGTGCGGCGGACCAGGCGGGTAGCCGGGCATATGGGAGCCCGGATAGGCACCCGGCGGCAGGCCCGTCGGCGTTCCGGGCCCACCCATGCCGACTGGCACACCCGGTCCCCCTGGACCCTGGGGCGTCTTTGGCGTCGGCGGCTTGTTGGGCTGCGGACCGCCCTGCTGCTGCTGCTGGGGCGGGCCCTTCATCTGCTGCTGCTGCTGTTGCTGCTGGGCTGCCGCTGCGGCCGCCGCCTGATGGTGCTGCTTCTCGGCTGCATCTCGCGCCGCAGCAGCAGCGGCGGCGTTCTGCTCGTCCTGTCGCGACTGCTGCTGCTGCGGCGGACCCTGCAGGCCGGCATGGTGGGCGGCCATCACGGCGGCAGGATCCAGAGGTCCCGACGGTGGAGGCGGCTTCATGTAGGCCGGGAAACCAGGCCCGTACGGTGCATAGCCGTAATGCGAGTTGAAGGGATGATGATGCGGCGAGTAGAAGACCGAGGGATGCAGCAGTGGATGTGGATACGGCGACTGGCCGGGATGCACTCCGATCTGTGGAATGCCTCCTCCCGGCGCAATCAGGGGCAATGGCAGCGGCATTTGCGGATGCCGTATAACCGGCGGTGAGGCTCCCGGTCGCAGATGCGGCGGCGGTGACGTTCCTAGCCCCCTTTGGCCCGGCTGCGGGGCATACATCTTGCTCAGCGGACTGGCCATCAGTCCCGAGGCATTAGACACGGGTGGCGGCGTCATATGCGGAGACTGCTGTCGCAGCAGGGCATGGCGATCCCGCTCGGCCACGGCTGCCGCTGCCGCCGACAATGCCGAAGATGAGGGATGATGGCTAAGCGGCGACTGCGGCACCGGATGCAGCGGGCTCTGGCGACTGAGGCTGCTCACACTGGAGGCTGGAGAGGCTGCTCGATGGGCAGCTGCTGCTGCTGCGGCTGCCGAGGAGTTGCTCTGGCCACCGCCAGGTGTGTTGCTGCTGCTGCTGCCAGGTCCGGCTGAACCGGCTCCACTCGAGATCTGAACGCTGGGACTGGCACGGCTGAAGGCCGACGACGGCACCGTGCTGGTAGTCAGAGCCATGCTGCTGGACGTCATCGAGGCCACCGAATGGGGCGTATTCGGTGCCGATGAGACGTGCGAGTGGGGCATATGGCTGGGCGGGGTGCGACGACTGAGGGCGGACTCGGGCAGGCCGCCCAGTCCTCCGGGACCCGCTAGCAGAGCGATGGGTCCGCCGCCCGGCCCCAGACCGGCAATCGAGTGCGACAGCAGATGGTGTCCGGGATGTGCCAGAGCCGCATGGGCCGGATGACCCGGCGGAAGATGCGCCAGATGCGGATGTATGGGCATTGGGTGGCCAATGAGCCCCGGCGGCGGATGGCCATTCCCCGCCAGTCCCGGCAGCGGCGATGTGCGATGCGTATGCGGGGATTGGTGCGGATTGCCATGACCACCGCCGGATCCGGCCATCGTTGTCGAGGGCTGCGACGTGGGCGGCTGCTCCCGCGACTGGGGATCGTGCAGACTGCGTGGCGGATGCTGGGCTGGCGATGGAGTGCGCACTGTGCCGGCGGGACCTCCAGGCGGCTGCTGTTGCTGCTGCTGCTGTTGGGGGGCGTGGGAGGGCGGCAGTCCGTGACCATGTTGCGGATGTCCTTGCAGGGACATGGTCATCGGAGCGTGCGGATGCATGCTGGGTGGCATGTCGTGCGGCCGATGGAGCACCTGCTGCAGATGATGCGGATGCATGTGGGGATGCATATGCGAGGGCGCCATCGTCGACAGCGTGGGTGGTATCCCGATCGAGCTGGGCGGCATCGAGGAGGCCACCGACATCTGCGAATGCTGTCCCGGATGCAGTCCCGGATGCATACCCGGCGGAACGCCCGGCGCACCACTCGACGACTGGTGCAGGGATGTGGGCGGTGGCGGTGGCTGGGGTCCACCGGCCCCACCCGGCGGCAGGCCATGGATGAGATTTTGAGGATGCATCCCAGGCGGCAGGCCGCCGCCTGCGGGTGAAGGCATGTGAGGCGAGGGATGCGGCGACTGGAACTGCTGCGGCTGTGGGGCCATCGACGAGGGCTGCGAGTTGCTGTTGCTGCCCTGGCTGTCCTGGCCTGGCGTCGAGCGCGACGAGGCGTCTATAGGGCTCTCTGGGGGCGGGCCATACGGGGAGGACTTTATCAGGTTCTCGCCGTATGGCTTCACGTCCACGGGTCCCGCCGCGGAGACGACTGGTGGCATCGGATACTTCAGATCCTGCGGCTGGGGCGGGCCATATTTGGCCGCCAGAGGATCTCCGTATTTGTGCATCATTCCAGGCTCGAAGGGCCGTCCCAATGGCGGCGTCTGCACATCGTGCTGATAATGCGGCTTGGGCATGGCTATGCCCGGCGGTGGCGTGGCACCCGGCGGCACCTGATGGGCCGGCGGCTGGGACTGCTGCTGCTGTTGTTGCTGCTGCTGCTGTTGTTGTTGTTGTTGTTGTTGTTGTTGTTGTTGTTGCTGCTGCTGCTGCTGCTGCTCCTGGGACGTCGGCGGTGGTCCGTACTTGTGGGCCACGTCCAGCTGGGAGGCCATGTTGTGCGGCAGATGGCCAAAGCCCGACTTGACGTCGGGTATCTTCAGGGAATCCTGGTAGCCCTGCTTCAATGGCGGCTGATGAGCGGCGGACAACTCCACCGGATACTTGCCGGGCTGCTCAATCATGTACTTCATGTCGTACTTGCCAGCCGCGGCGGCGGCAGCAGCGGCTGCTGCAGCGGCAACCGCCTGCATCTCCTGGCTGTACTTGAGTGCGTCCAGCGGCGGTGGCGGCGGATACTTGAGATCCTGCGGCGTGAATTTCATCTCCATTTCGGGCGGGTACTTTTGCGATGTGTTGGGTCCGCCTTGGGGTGGTCCATTGCCGCCCGCTCCAGCCGGATCGCTGTGCAGCTGCGGAAGCTGTGGAGGCTGCTGCTGTTGTTGCTGCTGTTGTCCTCCCGGCGGGCCGTACTTCAGCTGGGCATCGATCAGATAGCTGGCGGGAGGTGGCTGCAGCGGCTGCTGGCCGTGTGGCAGATGCGACAGATGCAGCGGCTCACCCAAAGGCGGCTGCCCACTCTCGCCACCGGCCATCGAATGGGAATGCATGGAGGTGGGCGGCACCCCAGGCCCCGTGAGCGGCAGTCCTCCCGCGTTGTGCTTCAGCGAGTCCTCGTTCTTGATCTCAATCTTCACCTTCAGGTCCTGCGGTTCGTTGCTGTTCTGATTGCAGGTGGCATCCATCGAATCGTCCATGGGCTCTTTCTTGATATACACCGCCTCCGTGGGCGGACACGCAGGTGGCGGCTGAATGGATATGGGATTCAACTGCTGCTGTTGCTGCGGCGGCTGCTGGGGCGGCTGCTGCTGCTGCTGCTGTTGCTGATGCTGCTGTTGGGGAGAGACCTCCTGCTTGATGGTGGCCAGCTTCTTGAGCAGATCGGGATCGCTCTCGCAGGTCTCCATCTTCTCGATGGCCTCCTTGCGCTCCACGGAGGCATTCAGCGCCTCCACGGTGGCAATGGTCGGCACCTTCATGGTGAGGGGCGCTGCCACGGTATTAACCGGAGGCACACCACAGTCCTGCTGGATTGTGTTGGCAGGGGAATCCTTAAGCAGCAGCCCATCCACGCTGTTCGGAGCCTGGATGTTCGTCTCCTCGTCCATGTTCTTGATCGAGAGCGCCTCCTTGCTGCAGTCCTCCGAGGCGACCTCTGCCTTGATGGACTTCTCCTCCGTTTTGGGCTCCAGGTGGAGGCCATCACCATCGTTGGTGGCCATCTCCCGCTCCTCCTTGCAGTTGAGCATCAACTCCTTGCTGTCCTTGGTCGACTGCTGTTCGGCGGTGGTCGTGTCCGTGGTATTCGACTCGCCGTCGTCCAGCACAGAGTCCGGCCTGCTGTCCGAGTTCATGCTCTCCACGGGACTGTCGGGCCGCTGCTGCTTTCTCTTCTCCTTCAAGCTGCTGATGTTTTCGTCCGATCCACCGACACCGCCCGCTCCCACACCAGCATTGGCTGCCTGGTCGTTCGCCTGCTCCTGTTCGGTGCGCTTCTTCTTGTTGGGCGTGTCCTGTTTGCCGCCCTTGCGCTTGGTAGCCGAACTCTCGGCCACAGCCTTGGTCGGAGTCTTGGGACTGTCCACCGAGGAGGCTCCACCGCCGGCATCGGGCGTCTCGGAGCCTCGCTTAGGCCGCTTGCCATTGGCCACAGCGTTGTTGGTGGTGGACTGATCCTTCGAGGAGCTGTTGGTGGCCGTGGCGCCTGCAGCAGCGCTTCCGCCTCCCGCAGAGCTGCCACCGACGGACGCACCACCGCCGCCACCTCCGCTATTGCTGGCCGTGCTGCTGCTGCTGCTGCTGTTGGTGGTGGTGTTGCTGCTGCTGTTGTTGTTATTGCTGTTGTTGTTGTTGTTATTCTGTTGTTTATTGCGCGTCCTCATCCTAGAGGGTGATTCATCCCTTTTGTTGGTCAGACTCGAATCACTGTCACACTCGCTGGCGTCGTCCTCGGTGAGAGAGCTGTTCTCCTCCTTGGAGACAGCGGGCGATGAGCGACTCGCCGTCTCTGACGCCGACCCCGTCGCCGTCGCCGCCGTCGTCGCAGTTTGTGGTTCCGGTGTGTCCTCCTTCTTGGGAGGTGTATTATTATTTGCGCGCGTGACACGATTGCGTCGCAGGGCGCTCTGTCTGCGTCGCCGGTGCGGCCGATTGTTGTTCGCGCCGGGCGTCTTCTTCCACAGATAGTAGAATTCGACCAGCTCGGGGGTGTCCTTGTGCGGCAGCAGATCCTTGTGGATCCTAAAGAAATTCTTGCCAAATTGTCGCAGACCCTTGATAAACTTTTTCGTTTCGTCCTCGGTCCACTTCTTGTCGATGCCCTTCGAAACGGGGCACTTAACTAGTGCTTGTAGAGCTTTGCCTGGATCGTAGCCAGAATCGTGGAGCTGTACAGAAGATGGGTATTAGCATGGAGCATATATCAGATGGGATAATAGTACTTTAGTAGGACTTACCACGTCGAGTGCGTTAATTGTTGTGTCGTCGCGACTGGCAGCCAAACAACCGTCTTCTAGTCCGCCATCACACATTCCTTGAAATGCGGCCATCGAGCGGGCAGCACGCAAGAACATTAACAAATCGCCATCGGCCACAACGCCTGGACTCCATCTTGATTCCTCTAGTTCACGTTCATCGGTTTCCTTGTCGATGGGGAAGCTTGAGATTGGATTATAATCGGGCAGTTTTGCCTTCAGTCGTCATAGGAGACAAACGAAAATGTTCGGGATTAGTTCAAAAAGACTCCAAGGAGAGCAACTCCATCGAGCGCGACCAGACACGACACGACAGGTGCGCTCAATTTAGTTTTTGTTTTTGCTTTTTGTTAGTCACACACACGCACACAATCCACACAATCACAAAAAACACAATCCACACACCACAAGACAACACCTGAAGGCTGCGAGGAGGGATTCCGGAGATTCCCTCCGGATACACGATGATACAGAAACTCTTAGGACTAATGCATGATTATGTATGAATAATGTATAATGTGTGCTACGGATTTCATTCGGATATTGGGGATTGGGAGCGGGACAGAGGATAGGGGATTTGGGATCGGTGGTTTTTGTTTTTTTTTTTCTTTTTGGTTCAACTTCTACCAATTAGGGACTCGAACTATGAAGACGGCCAATTGTATCGCAAGAACTTGAATTGCAAAATTATTTACAAACAGTTTAAGAGTTATTTACAAGAGAGTTTAACCGAAGGACATACAATATTTAAACAAATTGCTCTTCGTGTAGCCTTTTATCGAAGGGAAGGAAGTATTTAAGCATTAACCAGAAACTGAGAAGAACGTTGAAAAGTTCTTGGTAGAGTGACAGTCTCTCATTCATTGTTATTCATTTTTTGGCATAGAAATACATGTGTAGAATACAAACGTAAAGGAATAGGCCTAAATATTGTGGGGAAGAGAATTTCTCTAACCACCAATGAAATATACAATTTATTAGAAATTTGTATTAGAAAATCATTCCGTATTAGAATTCTTTGGTAGTCTTTTGTTTATTTTGTGAGTTTTTGAACCCCACTAAAAACTGCGTAGGAAATGCCCTACTTCCTCTTCAAAGTCCTTCTAAGGACTACACAACATAAGGCAATTTTTGAACGATTTTTACGTTGAGAAATTCATTGAATTTCAACATAAAGAAAATAGGAACATAAATTACAATTTTTGCAGTAAAAAAAAATGTTTATCTGTTCTTTATTTATTGTTGTTCTTTTTTTTTCATTGGCATAATTGTTTAATTTTTTAGTTCTTTGTTGTTGCTTTTTTAAAATTTTCTTGTTGTTACCGTGAGCTGAATTTCTGATTTGTGAGAGTTATGTACGTACATAGACATCGTTTACCTGGTGGCCGGGACCCACTCGAATTTCTCCTTGAGTGGAGGCCGCCATCACCCTTTAAAAACACGCTTCCGGTCCAGTGTTAAGCCTTTTTATGCCCTCTACGATATGAAAATTCAACTGCAAAAAACACAGAGAAAATGCATAAAAAACGGATCGGATCGAATCGAATCGGGGTGGGGTAGTGTGAGGGCAAAGAGGGGGGTGAGTGGGGGGAGTAGTACCAGTATTATTTTTCAATAAAGCGATGAAGTTCACATCAACATGCATAAATAAATAATCCATAAAAATAATGCCATGTAATGTGCGAACGATGGAGTATCACAGAAAAGAGAGGGATAGAGAGAGAGAGAGAGAGAGTGAGGGCGAGAGGGAGAGTGGGAGCTGGGGGCCACGGCTGACGGGGTCTGGAAATTAGGGGTTTACGCTGTCGGACGATTGAGTCCCTCTGCCACTTAATCGCTTGCATATGTTAATGCGCCTGCCTCGAAGAGGGGGTAAAAAGAGAGGAGGGACTGCAGAACGTCAGACTGACTGACAGACGTATGCTTTGGTTTGTTCATTCACTCATTTTGTACAGCTTGCATACCCTTTACGAGGGTAAGCCTATATAAGAAAATGGCAAGGGTTCATATCTGGATAACAGTTGGTACCTAGCCGGATTTTTAACATATGGATAGCACCCATATAGAAATTATCGTTTACAAAATGAAATTTCTAGCAATTTTTGAATGAGCGATCTAATGAAATATGGTAAGAACTTCCACGATTAAAGGGTATTCGAAAATCGTCGCTATTTAGCTATCTTGCATTCACTTTTTTCCGCATTGCTTTGGTTTCTTTTCTTCTTTTTTGTTGTTGTTGGTTCTTCTTGTCCGGGGTCTGGGTCTGGGGTGCTGCCTCTCAAGTGTGCGTGCAGCTGTAAACAGATTTTCCGCTCAAGTAACTCCGCGAATAACTGTAACGAGGAGCCAACGGCTAAGTAAGCATCCTCTCATGGGCCCTATCCGCTCTCACCCATCCCACCCCATCCCACAACGACCCCATCCCACCACAGTATGGAATTATCATTAAATTTGCTTATGAATCAATATCATGGCTAATGCACACTGACAGAGAAAGGGGGAGAGAGAGAAAGAGTGAGACAAACGGAGAGTGAGAGGGAAACAGACACACAGTGCGTTCACGTCTCATCAGGAATGCCGACGGTGTTGCGGTTGTGTGGCAGCGGCACACAAATTATGGCAATTAAAATCAATTAATTAAATGCAGCGACAGCGACAGAGCGACCGCGGTGGCAGTGCCAGTGCCAGCGCGCGCGATGACTGCAAAAAAAATTATATACATATGTATATACATATACGTATGTATGAAAATGTATGTGTGTATTGTCGACAGATTTACACTCAATAAGGCACGACACGCCGCCTAAATGACTGACGACAGCGGGGCTAGGGAGAGAAGGAACAGCAACGGGTCTGCGAAACGATCCCGACGGAGGCGGACCGAAAGCGCAGGCCACGAACGCACACACGACTATCCCCGGGGTTGCACAGTGGTATCGGTAGCAGTGGCACTTTGGTAACCCCCCAAGTCAAACACACATATGAAATATTCATTGCATTCCACGGCGGGGGGATGAATATTTCATCCCTCTTTGGTTTGACTACCCCGCAATAGTATGTCCTGAAGAATGTTACCCTAATAAATATATGCTCACCTAAAGTGAATTTGCTTAAATATTTATGGATTACTTTGAACGATCCATGGCATAAATGTTTTCTGTAACAATGGAAATAAGTCCAGTCGATACTTTAATAACTGGATTATTTCTGCTATGAATTTTTAGATATTTCGAAAGCTATTTATAATAGATGAGATGAGATTTGGCATACTTTGGCATATCTATAATCAGTTTTCCCACAATTCATCAGCTTTTGACTCCAAGTTGTACCACTGTGCAACGAACGGTCGTCTGCGTTTTGGGGCCGACACTTATCAACGACATCAGCAGCCACACCAGGTTGGCAGCTCCTCTGGCCTGGCCTGTTCTCTGCCCTGCTTGGCCTGGCCCGGGCCGGGTCGGGCCGTTTTGGGTCTGACTGCTTGGCTGGTTACTGCTTGCTGGTTTAACTGGCAGCACAAAACTTTTTTATGAGGGAGTCGTGAGTGGAAAAATTTCGTATAAACACAAACAGAAGGTGGCGGCGCAGGGCACGCGACTGAATCCCCCGCTGAATCCCTCATACCCACCCCCCACCACCTGCCGGGCGACAGTGGGGGCTGGCTGGCTTCTGCCTCTGGGCCCCTGGCGCTTGGGGAAAATTGTGTAATAACTGCAAGCAGTGTGCTAAGCTCTTCTGTTCCTGCTGTTCTCCCGCTGGCACTCTGGGCTCTCTGTCTTTGGGTCTCTGCTTCGCTCTGCTCTGGGCTCTGCCTGTGGTAGCTTTTGGGGGCAAGCAGCGGTGTGTCGGCGGGGTCTGTTATAAAACAAATGTACTACAAAAAGCGACGTTGTAAACGCACAAAGCCATAAAATCTGAAAAAGACAAAACGAAAGGCTCGAACAGAGCCACATTTTGCCACCACCGAAAAGTGCCGTTCTCTGGCTCTTCTGCCTCCCTTCCACACCCTTACCCTAAAATACCACAAATTATGGCACACTGGGAGAAAGGGAGAGGGCACACACACACACAAGGAGAGCCATACTGAGAGGACAGGCCACCAGTGCCAGGGAGCAAGAGCAGGATAGCGAAACTGAAAAGAGAGCATGAGCGAGAGCAGTCTGTACATTGACTACGTGACGTTTTCGAGTACTCCGTGAGTCAGCAGCCAAGCTGCTTGGCTGTTGTTGCTCTGGCTCTGGCTATGGCTATGGCTATGGTTCTTCCTCTTTTTGTTTTTCTCTTCCTCCTGCTATTCTTCATCCACGGACGACGGGCTGACCTGCGTGCAAATTTAAGGCCAATAATGCTGTCAATTTCAACTGGCGTGTCCGTCTGTCTCTCAATTAATGTCATCGCGTATTATAAAGTTCCATCAGATTAACAACTCGTTTCTCTTCCTCCACTCCACTCAATGGCTGTGCGGTGGCCAGCCGTCTCCTCCCCGCCGTGGCAAATTGTTTTCTAAACAGCCCATAAACATGAACGAAAACAAAGCGAGAAATGTAAATGAAAATAAAAACTTGGAGAGCAGGCAGCAAGCAGCAACAACAACAGCGTGGCAACGCTGTCGACATGGGCCACAGAAAGAGGAAATTCAATAAACAATTTGTAGCATGAGTAGCGGAAAATTGTGTGTACGCACGCGGCTAAACGGACGCGAGTGAATGAATAAAAGAGGGGGAGGGTGGTGCGGCAGACAGGCAGGGAGTAGAAGAAGCAAGCAAAGCCTGAGCAATGTATATTTACTAGAAGGTAAGGCAGTCTTAGAAACCGACAGAACAATCTGCTTCAGTAACAAACTATGATTGAACTGGACCTATCCTATGACCGGTGTATGTACTATGTGCTTGGACTATGACTGCCTTACCTTCTATGGTATATACCTTGAGCCTGAGCTTGCCTCTTTTCTATACGTGTGTATGCTTGTCTCGCTTCCTCTTGCTCGCTTTTACAGTACTCATGGGTGCGATTGTGTATGTGCGTTTGCCCAGTGTAATTTTGAAATGGAAAAGCTGTCGACTGCTGTTGTCGGCTAACTGGCTCTCCAGATCTCCTTTGCTTTAGCTGTAGCTTGTTTTTCTCTGTCTCTGCCATCATCGCTTGCCAATAAGCTGACTAATTGACTGACAAATAGGCAGCAAGCAGCAACAGCAACAACTATGAAAGAGAGCGCGCTGCGTTAATAAGAGCAGCAGACATCAGGCAGTAGTAGGCAGGGAGACAGACAACTTAAAATTCCACTGCCGCCAGATGAATGCGCCGTAACTGTACATTAGGGGTGGCCCATAAACTTGAGACTTTATCAGCAGCCCCACCACCACCCCTAGAGCCCATTCCTTCCGCTCGGCGAGAGATTATTAGGTTAGTCGCCGGCTGATGGGGAAATGTAAGTGATATAGCAGTAAATAAATTAGTCAACCCCACGACCGACCATAAGCAAAGAAGGGTATTCATTTGGAGGTCTATAATTCTTAAGGGATGTTTAACGAAAGCTTAACTTTGGTTCATTCGTTGTAAACTTGCTCAATTGAGTGGAACTGAACTGTAAAAGTAGAACTACTCAACTGACTCCGATTGGCCCATTCTCAGCATAGAATAGTTCTTTTATTGAGCTTTGTTCTTGGTATTTCATTTTATTGTGTTCGTCTAATAGTTTTTTCATAAAGGAATAAATTAACTAGTTTATCAGAAAATTAATTGGGAACAATTGAAGTACACATTATATTCGAAATAGTCAGCAAGGGAACTACAGAAACACCCTTAGAACCCTCCATATATGTATGTTATTTTAAAACGAACCACCAGGAACTTATTCCTTTTTATTTTTTGGCTTCTGTCAATTGTGTTTCTTTTATGGTAAAACTGTTGGCTGGTTCACAAAATGAATCCTCCATATCAACCGTAAATTCAATGGATCCACTTTATAGTGGAAAAATACATAAAACTCTGAAAAGTCTGACGGAAATAAAATGGTTCTGAAATTGCTTTTCAATTTCTCTGTGTGGTTTAAGCAAACAATTGATTGTCTGGTTCACCAGACAACGGAACCACTGAAATATAACCCAAAACCTGAACCAAAGTGCCCATCACTAACGCATTCCATACCCCAGGGCACACAACCAACGACCAACAAAAAGCTGGTCTATTAAGCCGTGCCGAGAGGAGTCCATTTAATTACCAAGTCGAACCGAGCCACACACACAAATGTTATCCATGCAGCATGGCCAATTGAGTTCGTCATAGGCATTTGTCCGGTCTGGTCCGGGGGCAGAAGACACTCTCCATACCAGACCCCAGGCCCCAGACCCCCATGCCATAGCATATGTACCTCTCGGTAACGGTGCCTGCATCTGTCTATTTGAAGGGTTCGTGTCAAGTACGGAAATCCCATTAAATGTTGGTTGGTAGGCACTTTGCCGAGCCATGTCCATACGTATGCATGTATGTACGAGTATGTATATGTGCACACATATACATATTTATGCATATACGTATACGTCGGGTATACTACGAGTGTGTACATATGCATGTACGTGTTGGTTCGTGTTGTGAAAGCCAAATTTTCACAAGTCAAAACAGAGGTTGCAGAAGGGGCAAAGAAACAAACAAAGGCTAGTAAAGTAGGGGCACACTGATAGAGATAGAGATAGAGAGAAGAGAGAGAGAGAGACGCTCGACTGGCTCTGGCCATTTAACCAAAAAGTCATAAAACAAATTTCTCTTTTCTTTTTCGCCAGTAGAGCCCCGGGATCCCGAGTAATGGAATTGTGTGTGCTTCTGTTCAGAAATATTTCGACTTCCAGTTCTACATATACTTCTCGTAGTAGGTCTGGACAGGCGGCATCCCAGCTTACAGTTGTTATGCCCATTACTCAACATCAACAAGAACATTATGCCACCGCAGTGGCACTCACGAAGCTCCTCCAGCTTCTCCTTTGGTCCCCCCACATCACATTCCTATTCATGCTCCAATCTCTGCCAGACAAAAACACATACACAGACACACATACTGATACAACTCTACATGCTTTTCTTCATTCAACCCGAACGATTGAGCATCTATTCAAGCCGACGGCGACGGCAATGATGATGATGATGACGAGACGACGACGACGACGACTACGACGAGTCCATGGTATATTCTTATAGGGTGAGACATTAATGCTAGTCCGAGTTATCTGCAAAATATAGCCAGCGCAACTGCAGCAAAATGTTTAACTAACTTGAGAGGAGTTTCTGGCAAGACCACACCTTATATAAATACATCTTGGACGTCGAGTCAACGTTCCAAAAGCCAAATAAACGACCCACAACGCTGGCCCCATACCGCACCCAACCACCCCCCCCCCCCCCCCCCCCCCCCCCCCCCCTTTACCCAAGCGCTAACCTGTGCGCATCCATTGGCCCGATCCGAACCGATCCGAACGGGGGTCGTCTGTCGTGTCTGCTGTCGGCTTCGTTTCATACGATTTGTTGGATTTGCTCATGAAGTTGTTAAACAGATTGTCGGTGTAGATACCTTCATCATTTTGCACGCCGTCGCCTCTCCTCTGCCCGTTGCTCGCACTCTGGCTTCCCGTTACCCACCGCCAGCCAGCAGCCACTCAACTGTCTGTCCGTCCCCCTCTCGCAGCAGCAGTAGTCACAGTCCCAAGTCCCATCCAGCCAATTCTCTTCTATGGCAGTGTGTGCGACTGTCTATCTGTCTGTATCTGCCTCTGTGTGTGAGTGTGTGCGTGTGCTTGTGCGATTAGTTTTATGTAATTTTATCGAGTATTTTAAGGATTTTGCGGCTTATCCGCGCTTCATTTGGAAATTGTTTCGTGTTACTTATATGCCGGGATGTGTTGTCGTCTGAAGGGGCACATTAGGGGACCGGGGTACGGGATGCGCCTTCTACCATGTGTCTGGGGCTCGTTTTTTTTCCATTCTTTTCTTTTCTTTAGCCTGTTGTTATTTCTGGTCCTTACTTGTATTGTTGTCTCCTTTCATCTAGTGTTTATGGAACTGTCGTTATTTGTTTGTGTGAGTGTTTAAATGAGCTCTTTGCATGTGAATTTGTTGTTGCTCGGCCTCTCCTTCCTCGCTCGTTCTCTTATCCTTCGACCGTTACCCTCTCCTTAATCGAATTACAGCCAAGGCCAAAGATTTATGGCACCATTTAACACGCTCTTACATTATATTCTCACCCATTTTGGCCCCGACTCGGCTCATTGATTTAACACTGATTAACAAGAGCTTAAATTGTTGTTGTTTTTCTTTTTACATTATAAATATAGAGAAAATAAATATAAAAAGGCTGACAACAGACAGCCCCACAAATATCTCGCTCGGTCTTTGTGCATATATATATTTTAATAAGCACTTTGTGTGTGCTAATTATCTTATCGCTAAATGGAGTTAACACGTAGCAGCAACCGAGTAACTGGGATTGATTTAGTTCAGTGTTTGCACAGAGGTGATAGCGTGAGAGGTCGTGAGAGGGTCGGTCTTCTTAATTAACTTGGTTTGAAGTATTTACAGGAAAATTCCACTCTCCTCAACCCATGACATTTACTCGAACTGTACTGACAGGAATCTTCTGAATATTCAGGATATACATACATACATATGTACCTCGTACAAATAATGGAGTGTTTAATGGTCATTATAAAAATGAAACAACTAAAAACAGCTGATGTCAAAGCAATTGTTTTGTATTCTTTTATAAGGAGTGCGCTTTATCAGTGTTTACCCAGCCCGTTATCTACTATTATTCCACCCGTAATGAGTCTAACCAACTGACAAACTACTGTTTCACGCGACGCACTCACGCACACATCTCGATGAGTAGAGCTCTGCTGCGCTGCTCACACTTTGAGGTAGTTTTTATGGGGCTCCAGCTCCAGTTCCAGCTACAGCCTCAGATCAAGCCGCTTAGCAACCCAGTCCAGAAATGCTAATTAATTCTCTTATGTAATGGAGAACGGAAGGAAGAGAGGAAAGAGAACCCCCACCCCCCTTCGACAGCAAGGTGTGTGGCTAGAGATGGGAGGGATGGTGGCAGGGGCAACTGTTTCGTTGATTTCTAATCGACATCAATAAATCGACACTCGAGTCGAGTGGGCGAATGGGACGGACATTTCAATCAGATAAGCAGCATTTATAAATTAAAAGCACAACCGAGCAGATTAATAAAAGTTAAACTTTAACGGCACATTATAAATAAGCCAAATGACTAATAATAAAATATGAAAGCGCGCACAAAAACCCCGACATCAAAGGCTATCCAACAACATACAACTGTGTAACACGAAATATACTTTTCAAAAAAAAAAAAAAAAAAAAAAAAATCCAATAAAAAGCAAAACCGAACCGAATCGAGGCTACCCATCCATTGGCCGTCTCATCGGTGGAGAAGGGAAGGCAGACCGCAGGCGAAGACTCATTTTTCAACACCATTTTTATGTATTTTGTTGTTTCCCTGTTTTCACTGGTGCCCCGAGCTGGTCTCGATTTTTGTATTAAATGCATTATTAGCACGTTATTTATTAATTAAACACTTCAGCTCTTTTTTATGCGTCTCTAATCAGGTGGCCTCGGCTGTGACTCTCTTTGCACCTCTGCCTCTCCTCCACTCATGCCACTTGCACGTGTGGTGAGGGCGGGGTAGAGAGATAGGAAATGGAAATGGGCGGTTCGGGACCGAGATAAGCGTTGCAAATTGTTAGGGAATTTCCTCGAAATTGATCTAAATGTGCCTCAAGTGTGGGTACATACTGGCTCGGGTTCGTGTTCGTGTTCGGGTTCGGGGAATGCAGGTGGAAAGAGATAATGGTCAGAGTTCGTAAGAACGTGAGCCAGTGGGATTTTCTCGTAAGACTAAGTAAATATCAGGTGACGGCGTTTATCTTTTTTATCTTCCACCGATCCAATTGCAATTTTAAATGTGGATCAACAGGAATTTGTATGATGATTCCACGATTTGACTGGAATATTGGAAGAGCAATGGAAGTTTACAGAGAATAATAATGAGATTCCAAGCAGTGAGAGGAAGATGGAACTAGTAACAGAACTACACTGGAACAAGATTACAGAGGGGTTATCTATAAATATCTATACTACAGTGAGAGTGGAATTATCATGGTTTTAGTTTCGTGCAACCCTGCCTTGAATGGCGTTTTCAAATTATGAAAATACGTGGAAATTCCCTTTTATCAAGTATTTATTCTCCTTTTCAGACAGATCGTTATAATTGCGATACAATGGTGCCTCATTAGAGTGCCACTCCATATCTAAGTGCCGCGATAAAGATCTAGATCAGTTGCGTGGGCCCCTTATCTCGTAAATATTTCCCAGAAACGAGCAGAAATTCTGGCATCCAACTAATAATAGACTCTTCCACAGGTCATATAAGGGCTCATGAGTAGCAGTACCCCCACTTTAAGTGATTCCATTGAGCTGATGGGACCCGCTTGAAAAATTGTTTCCTCCATTAACCCAGAAACCCTTCCATCCAGCAACGACCTCGAGCCTGTGGCAGGGGAAGATGACACATGAGACTCGACCAGGGCGGGGCGGTTCGGGGCGGGACATGGGGAGGGGGACCCCATTGGGTATCGAATTAGGCAAACAAATAATTAAATATACGCCCGGCTGGGCAGATGTCTTCTTCTTGGGCTCACCATGAATCCAGGGTAAATGTGCCCGATGAGCCCCTTTCCAGGCGGCGTTCCTCCCAGCGGCAGCGGCTCCAGCAGCAGGCGGCCCGGTCTCTCTCCACAGTCTCCGTAGAGGGTAAGATATTGCAGGGGGGGTGGGGAACAGCGGCTGTTGGATGCTCAGCGAGGGGGCGCGGGCGGCCGGAAATGTATATTTTGGTTAATTTGCACAGAACACAGCTGGAAAGCGAAGAGATGACGTAGGTGAGAGCCGAGACGAAGATGATTAAGCAGATAAAAAAAAATAAAACTGGAAACTAAACTAAACGGAACAGAAGTGAGAGAGATAGCTAGAGAGAGAGAGAGAAAGAGAGCGAGAGAGAGAGAGGAAAAGGAGAACCCCCTTTTCTGGGAAAACAATGCAACAATATTTTTACATATAGAAATCTTTTATTTGTATTTTTTTTTTTTCCTCGGGCAGCGTCAGCGAAAATCAGGAGCATGGCCAGGACACGAGCAATGAGCCAAGAGCATCTGTCCGGTGGGGTGGCGGTGGTAATGGCAGCGGCGTTTCGACGCGTCGGTGGTGACGCCGACGACAACGGGCATGACGGTGGTGGGTTGTTGTTTCTGGTGCTGCCGCTGTTGCTTGTGCTGACGCTTGGCTTTGCTTTGTTGTTGCTTCCACTGCTGCTGCTGCTCTGATTCTCTTCCTCTGCCGAAGCTACTACTGCGCTTTGTGATTCCTTTTCAGAAAATTTGTTGAGCCTCTGTCCGCCGTCCGTGTCTTTTGTCGCCTGTCGGTGGTTTGTATTGCTCTACCCCCAAAAAAAAAAAAAAAAACAATAAAAAAATTCGTAATAGACTCCCCGTCAGACCCCCCCGCTGCGGGAATCTAACCATCAACAGGGCCTTCTTTCTCTCTGTTTCTCCTCAATTCCGTTTCGATTTTGACGCTGCGCAACTTCTGCTACTGCAACGGAGACAGCGACGTCTTCGACTTTGACGTTTTCCAAATGAAATTAGTGACACACTTAAGTAATAATTAATTTTCGCACACTTGTTGTAGATTTTCCTTACGTTTTCTCGCTCTTCTCGTTCTGTCTCTCTCTCACTCTCTTTATTGCTTTGCTTTTGTTGGTGCTGTTGGGCGCGTGAAACTCGTCGTCAGACGACCAACAATACGCTGTTTTTTTTTCCTTCTACTTTTTGTAATGCTCTTCTGTTTTTCTTCTTCTTTTTGCATACACTTTGCGCACACACACACTCACATAATCGACATGCACATACACAAACACGTACACAAAAAAACACACACACACGCACTATGCTTGCTTGCGTTTTTTATTGCTCTGTGGTACTGCTGCTTCTGCTGCTACTCGAACGATGGAAATACAATTTTCACTTGCTTTGTACACTCTTCGCATTGACTTTCACACGCGTATTCCAGCCACACGGGACAGCCACCGTTGCTGTAAGTGTTTTAGCACTATAATTTTAATTAGTTTTGGGCTAAAATGCGTGGTTTTTGTTCGTAATCGCTGCTACAACGAATTTTGTAGCCTACAAGCACACATTACCCCGCATTTTGGGCATATTATTGATTATATTTAACACAATATATTGTACAATTTTAGACCGTCTTTCTGTACACACAAAATGGCGGAAATGATGCCTATCGATTAAAACCTCAGAAATATACCAAAATATACCGGCTCATTTTAAAAATATACCGTAAATATACTGACGAATTCAAATTACATTTTACATATTCCTCGTTTTTGATATTCCGCCGAATATTACTAGCTAGTTAAGACTTCCATGTTTGAACACATAATTTTCTCCGATTGATAAATAAATCTTTTACAAGATATGCGTATTTTAGGGACTCCTTGTAATTGGACTGTGTCTAAAACAAGGTTAAAGTAAAAAAGGCCAACAAAATGTACAAGAAAATGATCGGTAACAGAGGGGTAACCTAAATTTATTTTTAAGTTGAGCCGATTTTGTGATTGTTGTTTTGAAATAACAATCACACAGCGCGAGAGCAACGCTCTTTACTTTAGGCGGTCTGGCAGCGCAGCGGGTGGCAGCACTATTCTTACAAATGTCCTAAAATTGCCAGAAAAAGTGGCAGCAGTTTGTCAATTAGCTTTTGAGAGTGTGCAGTTGTTCTGTCGAAAGCGGTATTTTTTGAAACTATATGATAGATATATACCATTCACGTACACCATTTGTTTTTATTTTCTTTTTAAAGTCTCCGAGCTGTTAACTAGTATTTAACCATAATAATTTGTTTCGAAAAAATCGTTGGCATGTTTTCGAAAAAAATCGGAAGTCGAAAATATCGATAGCTTGCTGGCTATCGACTCACAGAATGCTGACACTGGCACCTTTTCCATGTAACACACTCTGGATTAAACGAAATTTTTCGATGTTTGAAAAATATATATATATTTAATGTTCATTCATATATGCCCTCTCCGTGTTACCTCTCTACACCTTACACACCCTGCCAACTTTTCGTTGTTTCAATATATGACGGAAATGACGGTAATTTGAAAAATAGTTGTGAATGTTGTTTTAAAAAAATCGTTGTTGATCCACTTACCGCACAAAATTACCGATATTATGTTTGGCATTGATAGGTAGATTTGAAAATCGTCGCGTGGGATAAGTGGGGTTTCATCGGTATATTTTTTGTATCTTTTGAAACTGAAACGGTATATTTCGGGTTATTTTATCACCAAGTCCGCGATCACACTGCTGCAAATTTCGTACCTTTTCATAGTATTTTCTAGTATTTTCCAGTGTTTTTTATGACGCGTTCAAAGCACCAATGTAGAAATCGTGTAGAAATGGCATGTAGAGCCTTGTCCCAGGCCACATAAACTACGAATTTGTGATCAGCATCGAATTCCTGATCGTTTACCATCGAAATCTCAATTTTTTTTATTTCGACATTTCCTCTTCAGGTGTCGCTTTTGGTAATTGACTACAAATGTAGTTAATATGTAGCGAATGTGTTGATATTGTGTAGTTGTAATGTAACTATGTAATTTAGTGGAAATTGTTTTTGCTTAAACCATTTTTTATAAAGAATCCAATAAAGATGATTACTTCAAATTAAACAGACTTGTAGGAAATTGATTCATCGATCGTAAAAAATTATGTGGGCATGGCAAAATGTTCTATATAGCTAGTGATATTCGTCGGAATATCAAAAACGAGGAATATGTAAAATAGAACTTGAATTCGTCAGTATATTTACGGTATATTTGTAAAATGAGGCGAATATTTTGGTATGTTTCTGAGGGTCGGACGGTATATTTTAACGATAAATCCGCGGTCACACTGACCACTCAACCAAATACGCTCCCGGATTTTTTGTTTTGTTTTTTTTAATAAGTAAAGTGAAACTTAATAAATAAAAGCGGCTGCTGGCGATCAAGAAACGCAAAGAATATCTCGACTACTGGACGCTCCTACATTTGCATCTGCCCTCTCTTATCTGGCGTCGCCTGCTCCCATTCGTTGTCAGCGTGCGAGGAACGCGCCTTCCAGTTTAATTCAATTTCTGATCTGTGTGAAAAGACACACCTCCTCCCGACAGAATATCGGCTGGCATTTAAGAGAGCCACAAAATGTGCGACGAAGCCACTGCGGATCATCAAGGTAAATAGTACTACAAAAGTTTGTGTTTACTTTGTCTATATTTGGTTTAGCCATTATATGGCATTTTTTAAGCCAAAATGTGATTATCATTAGCGGGGGTCGCTCTACCCAGCTGCGACTTACCAGAAAGTGCCTTAAAATATCATTAACCAAAGCCGGCAGTGGATTTGCCTGCTTCCTAGAGGAGGGTTTTGGTGGGATTTGAATGTTTAATTGGACTTGCCAAGAGTTTTTGCTAAAATTAGATCAGAAAGTGGGACAAATGTTCCCATTTGACCTTTTGGTGACTGCATTTTCATAAACATGCTCATGTACTGCATTAGTGTGTGCTGATGTGAGTGCAACTGCGATAGTTTGCGTGTGTGCGTGAGCCTTACTCCTTGCAAGGCTCATTTGTAAAAGGTAGAGTATATTCTCTCTATCACAAGTAGAAATTCGCTGTCGTTCTCATGTTGTCGCGTAGAATCGTGAATAGTGAAAACTGTTTCTGGCAATGCATTACATACCTTACACAAAATATACCTTTCTTCCTTGTTGCTTGTTGGGCTTTGACACGTTTATCTTTTCTCCCCTTCCTCCATCTTTTGACACATTCATATATGCTTCCGCTCACTATCCTCCTCTCGCCATACTTTTACTATTCCTGCACCGAAGAAAGCGTTAACCTTACTCACTTTTACGCCCACCAGTAGATAGTTGCAAGTAACAAGACAGATCCTTCATTGAATAAGTCGTTATTTGGTACTGCAAGGGTATTTACCGGATGACTAGTGATTTGTACAAAGTCCGCTACTGGTACAAATTTCAACATTTCTTTTTGAAATTGACGCATGCATATCCCTGGCTCCCTCTGGCTCGTGTTCTCTCGTTTACTCTGGTCTCCCGTTCGTTCTGCCCTCCAACGTTCATTGTTGTTCTTTGGGCGGCCGTTTTCCTGCTTTTCTGTCGTAATATTAAAAATAATATTTGTTCATGGTCAAACCTAAGCCAATTTTCAATGTGCCTCCGTCCCCATTCCCATTCCCTGCTGTCTCTGCATCCCATGATGCAAAATTCATGACATTTACCGGCGAATCGATGATTTTTCCCTCTATGCCGCAATTCGCGTGACTTGGTGTGGGGCGCCGTTGCCCCCTTATCGGCTGAGGCAAAGCCCAGGCTCAAACGTTTGATATAAGCATTCTTAAATTGTCGTAGATTAGTTTTTATTTATGATCAACACACCCCCCCGCTGCCAGAAAAAAGTTAATGAATTGTCGTCTGGCATATAAATAATTTTCCTTTTCCTTTTTATACACTTTCATCAATTACGGTTTATCGCGCTCTGTTGGACAGTTTGAAGTGCTCTCTGTGGGAGGGAGGTGTGTGTGCGTTGGGGCCTTGGAAGAGCACTATTGAATTTATTGCGCAAGTAAAGTAACTGTAAGCTGTTTGACTGAGGGAGTAAAGAGAGCAATCTAATTGGCTCTCTTTCGATTAAGCAGGATCTTACGCTCTCTAGCTGCCCATGCAACAATAAAACTCTCTTGCTCTCTCTCTCTCTCTCACTCTAATTCATTCAATTTCGTTCTCTTTTGATTGAGTGAATGTAGGATTAAGTACTGACTAAATGAAGCAGTCGAAAAAATGAAAAGTTTTTAGTGAAAAGCTTTTCTACGCTGATCTCGGGCGTGTGGCGTAGAGTGTTCAAAAGTCTCCATTGGGAAATGTACTCCCCTTAACTACCTCACACAAATTGCCATGAGTTAGCACTTGCAATCAGTTGGCAGACGTCTCATGAACAATCCTAATTATAATTATCATTTCACTTAGCGCCCGGCCCAGAGATTACACTTTCAACGTCACAGGTGCAGTTCCCACACCCCTTGAACCCCGGTCTTTTGGCTTAATTAAATTGTTTGCATAGAAACCGACCGCTAGCGCAGTGGTTTTTCGTTTTTCATTGTTCGTTGTTCATTGTTCATTGTTTTGTATTATTTTTTTATTGCCTTTTCTATAAAGTGATATGCAATTGTTTAATGCACATGAGTTGGGCTATTTATAGCACTGCGACTGTGCGACGGTGGGACTGTGAGACCGCCCAAGCACGTTGTTTGGGGTGGGCAACCACACTCCCCTCCCTTGGGCGGCCACGAGGTGTTTCTGTGATTGATATTTGTCCCGTTGGGTGGAACAGACGGACGGGACGATACGACACGACACCTTTGCAATTGTTTTGATTTGAAAATTTCGAGAACATAGAACACAATTCTGTTATGCAGGGTTTTGCAATCGTTCCCTTCTCTTCCCCTCCCTTGCGGTCAACGCCTTGGCAATATTTTGTTTGGCACGTACCACATACTGCTGCAAATGTACAAATGTGCATATGCCTTTTTATGGCATCCCCCACATGTCGGTCATGGGGAATGGCTGTTCCGGGTGGCAAAGCTGAATTAGTTATGAAAGACCGGGGGGGACAAGAAAGTGGACACAGTACAGTCGTTGGATTATATTATGAAATGAGCTGAATATTGAACGTTCGATTGGTATGGAAGGTAGAACGTAGATCGCTGGATATACATACTATTATTCAATATTCTTTGCCCTAACTGAGGGCATTCATTAACAATATTCTTTGAATAAACGAACCAATTGAAACTGAAATCAATTGATTGACAATCTCTCAGATAGACAACAGATCATTTGTCTATATAGAAATATAGAATAAAGCTAGCCCCAAAAAGAGGTCCAAAATTTCCTCTACTCAAATTTGATGCCAATTTGAGATTCCATTAATGATAAATCAATGCTGATTGGGGGGCACGTGAGAGAGTAAGTGACTCCTACCCTTCCATCCGTACAGATTGCTGTGTGTTTGCGTGTAGCAATGCCTTGAGCGTGACTTTAAATGAAATTTATAAAAAGAACAACAATCCCGGCACTTCGGCGAGGTAGCTTCTCATGCAGGAAGGGGACAGGGGGTTGGGGTGCCACTTGCTTGGATGAATCGACATTGGAAGGTCTCGGGTGTCGGGTCTCGGGTCTCAGGTAGCTACCTCCTTTGTTAAGCAGATTAAGTTGGATCACAATAAATTGCTTACATCCAGCAAATGAAGAACCGGAAAATTGCTTCAATTTTACATGATCCAGCATTAAGCGAATACAAAAGATGGAAACAGAAATTACACATAAATTTTATTGTCAACATTTCCTGAAAATTAAATTGCAAAATTGAATTACTATGACGTTCTGCTGAGCGGGCGATCAGCCAAAACAAACAGCGGCATAAAGAAGAATCCGAAAAAAAGAAGAATTTGACCAGATATTTCTGAATATCTGAAGGTTTTTCCATTTCTACAGTGCGTATCGAAAATGAAAGACGGATAGGAAGGAATCTTTACCGTAAAATATAGAAAGAAAAGATGAGAAGAACTTGTACCTTTATTTATATACAATAATTGATCAGATCAGATCAATAGGCCAATGTTTGATACATTTGTAGACCCTAAAACTATCTAGAAAAAGAAAAGTTTGCTCAAGATCAACATTCGGATGCCATGGGTGGATATATTTTGATAGATTAATCGAATGAAACGCACTGTTCGATGGTTCCACAATTGTGTGGAAACGATGTTCCCAAAATAACAAACTTTCCACCACAATTCTTGAGTGCCAACGGACAAATCCGAATTCTATTTTTAGGAAATACGAGACTTTTGTCGGGGCCCGTGAAATATTCTTCGCTGAGGCAATAGTCCATGATTAATTGTTCAACTATTTAGATCTTCCACTTCGCCATCCACGATTCTGGTTATCCATACATACCCGATGCATGCACGCCCGATTAGAAGCCCGTTAAGCTGTCAAGTTTTTATTGCTGCATAAACATTTGCCAGCGATTTGTTAATTGCATTTCCAAGCAGCCCCTTTATGGCGCTCCGTATAAATATACATTATACGTACGAGCTTAACGTATGCCACGTCTCAGGTGTACGCTAAATTTGATTGTGATTTACGAGCAGCATCACTCGTATGGTACTCGTATATGGAAACTGGAAGTACGTCTGATTAATGGGTCATCTGACGCCAGTTGAACGTGATGGCAAGACACTAATATGTAGACTGGATTTTTGAATTTACAATTATATTCCTTATTGATTGAGCACCTCTCAAGAGAATCTTATATGCGCTTTTTCTAAATCTCCAAGAATTGCATATGCCCTTCTCTTCTCTATATCCTCTTTTGGAAATCATGTAAAATCCTGTCTATCGTATTCTCTATATCATATATGTATGTTTATCCATGATAGCGCGTCAGGGAGACAGGTCGTGGGCGTGAGGAGGCATATCTTAAGTGTGAAAAGATCTCTCTAGTCCCTCAGAACATTCTCAAATATGAGTTCTTTCAGCTGTTGGGAATATTCATTCAGCAACTCATCCTCTACGTATCATTCATTATTCTGTAGACGTAGTACAGCCAAATGGCGTGATAAAATTAATAAAAAACCAGCCTATTCTTTCGTTTTAATTCATAAATTCAATTCCACAGTCGCTCGAATGTTGAATGTCAGCGCGAAATGTGACGCTGCGAAACACGAGTGCAGGCCTGGCCGCCCCCCCCAATTGACCCAATTTGAATGCGATTCAAACCCCAAAGGCAGTGAAGAGCGGGCCTTGGAAGCGTTTAATTAGGGGGTTACACGCAATTACCTCTTCGAATGCCTTGGGGGAGGGGTCCGGGGGAAAGTTTACTTGAGGCTCGACCCGAGACCTCTGTTTCCTCTGCCTCTGCCACCACCTCTTCCCCACTGCTCTGTTTGTTTAACTCTGAATACTTATGTTTATTCCACCTGACTCTCCGTCCCCCTCCCCACAATGGCTGGGGCTATGTTTGTGCCCCTCTGATGTGGCGTCTTGTTTCCGGGAAAGCATGCACAATTTTTAATTCGTCCAATCTGCTTGTTTAACAAATAAGATTTTCATTTTCAATTAAGTTTTGTGTACACACTTACAAGCCGCAAATATACGGTCCGTAGTCGGGAGTTCTTCCACGAAACGGTGCCTAATACACTTTTTACAGATTGCATTTATGTATTACAATGAATGTTCACTAATTTGCTCCATAGTTTTTCCACGGGCTTGGCCATTTTCTGTAGCATTCTTCAGTTTGTAAGCTTTGCCTTGCTACAAATTTGGTATTGACATCTTATGTGGTTTACTCTTTTCCAGATCATCATGTACACTTTGATGCGGCCACGGTGAAGTCGGATGGCTTTGAGTCGGACAGCTGTGTGACATACCAGCGCTCGGGCGACACGATTGCGGTTAGCCTGGGCTTTCTGCAGATCAACCATCGGTATCTGATCGACCTGAAACTTCCGACAACTGTGTTCGGGGATACGGGAGCGCCGGGCAGCAAGTTTCTGCCTGTTGTGAGCGCCACGCCCAATCTGCATTGCCGGATCACGGAGTTCGCTGGGACGAAGCACGACGAGCACGACTTTTTCGAGATGAAGATCGAGTTCTTTGCCTACAAGGAGAAGCTGCTGCGTGAGGTGCTGCACATTGTCAGCTCGAAAAACGCGAAGGAGCTGCTGCAGCTGGTGATTGCCGCCCGGGTACTGGGCAAGGGCAAGGGTACGCCCATGCTGCGCACGGGCATCCACTGTATCGGCGTGGAGCGGGACGACGACGAGTCGGAGGCCTCGGACTTTGCCGGCTTCGACAACAGGCCCTAAGGAGAGACCCAATGGCCCAGGACAGGCTTGCGACTCGCCTTGCCGCTATTTGTTTTCGTAGATAATTGAAAATATTTACATAGTTCTTAAGTAAACAAAACGAAGCAAAAAATAATAATTATATTAATATGATCTAACTCTAAGTCTTGCCTACATGGTAACCAATCGTGTGTGAAACTCATAGAGCATTTGCATTTAGATTTCGGTTTCAATTTTGTTTGTTGTACTTAAAGTTTTTTAAATTACCCCTCGAGTCCCGCAACCAATGCCTGGCCAGCCCTCTGAGCGGTGACTCGTACCTGGCCTCATTTGTAACCTCGTTGTAGCTCGTTTCCAAAGAACTTGTCTGCCGAAATGATTTCCCATTTAGCTCGGTCTTGCGTTCATTAGTACACGAAAGTAAACGAAGATTTAAATCAAGATTCTCAGATGTATTTTCATGCGAATGTTCATGGAAAGTTTTTAAGTGTAAGGTTAAAACATTGAAGATCTGTTGTTATTGTCTCATGAACTCATGGCTACAGTGCGTCTCAAAGCTAGAAGACAGTTGTGGAACAGGCTATAAAGACTACGTAATTTATGTTTATTGTACAAACGAGTACAAATTTAGGGCTGCCGATGCCATCCTTTCGGTGTATCAATTAAATATGTTCGAGCAGCATCGATTCGGTGGCACTAGCGCGATTTATACAATCAGACGATGTCCTGTCATAATTGTTCATTCTGTAAATACCACAACTGTTTTCTTGCTGCGAATCGCACTGTAAATATGGTACATTTTATCATACATCTTGTTGCACTTCAAAGTATTTCCCCCCACATGTATTTTAATGAATGTTAGCTAACCAATCAATGAACAGTTCAACCTCGAACAGACCAAACCGCAAGCCTTTTCAAAAATGTGTATAGGACTAAATTTTAAATTCGACCATATATGTAGACCCTGACCAACTCGTGGTGCTCCTCCTGACTTAAAACCTGTATGCATTACCCGAATAACAGAAACGAAAACTAAGCAATTTATTAATACAATTAGCCCAAAAGTATCCAAATACTTGTATTTAGCACTGGGCCTTTTGATAAACTTTTCAAGTTGATAATATTTCGCCCTGTCGAATGTGTATTGAGGCGCACCGGTCAGCAGTTAGATTTTGTAAATTCTAATCTACACAAATCCCAATTTCAACGGGAGCTCAATTCTTTACTAAGTATTTACAACATATGTATGTACATAAATATGTATGTGTGTGTGTAGGCCAGCAAATAAAAAGTCGTTGAGAACCCCATCGAATATTAAATTTATTGTTTAAATAAACCAAAATTATAAAGCACAATCTACCCGGCAATAGGCAAGTCTGATTATGGATCCTTGAGCTCAATACAGCCGAAATCGGAACGATTCCCTGTTAAACTGGTGGAAGCGCTGTTGAGCTGGCCGTCAAATCAACAAAACGTGGCACAGGCATCGAAGAGGCGATGCACCGACTGCAGTATTTACTGGCACAGTAGCTGCGTTTTCTCCTATCTCGAACACCATGTTGAAGGTAAGTGAAAGGAATGAATTTTTCAATGGCTTTCACTCACCCGATCAACCTTTCACAGATCCTGTCGCAGTACTTCGATCGATACGGCCTTTATGTACGGATATCTGTTTTCCAGGAGGACACAGTCTATGTCCATTTGAGGCAATACATTGTCGAGTTCCATCCCAGTCTGGAGCCGCCTTTCAAAACTGTCGCCCGTTGAATCTATATCTGAAAGTTTTGCATCCTGGCCTCGTACAAAAATATTCTTCTACTGCTGCAAAAGGCCATAAATGGAGAAATCAATCTGAACCGACTTCATCCACTTCATTTACGACAGAAAGCATTAATTGGAATAGACGAGGAAAGACGTAAAACAGAGCCATAGAACTGTCATAGGATCATCTTGTGGAAGGGCTAGAAGGCCGCTGAAGATCAAGATATTTTCAGTTTGATTTATAAGACTTTGGGAGATTAATAGGCTCTGGACATTGAGCACATCCCGGGGGAACGGTGAGATTTTTTGACAGATGTGAAACACCGATTCAAACTGGCACCATCTACCCTCCGTAAAAAAGCAGCTGATAAGCAAAAAATTACAAAGTCTGAATTGTGAAATTTTCACAATTTTAAATTAGCCAATTGGGTATGATAAAACAATCAATATATGTATGTACAATAAACGTCACTCTTTGGACTTCCTTAGAAATTGCAGCAGCTCTGTTTGGAAGTTGGTTTGGCCTTGGGTGATCGCTATTTGCTGGAGTATCTCTCGCTTTGTTTCCTGGTGCTCATCCTGTAATGCTGCTCCTTCCGGACTTCAAGCATTTTCCGAATAATCTCTAGAAGATTTTTCAGTTCAATCTTCTTTGGTTGGATCTGTCCCGGTCGACATTAACGGAATTATTTCGGGACCCCCATGAGGTTCGCAGTACCATCAAGCCAAAGGTTTATAGCGAGATTTTCCATATATGCAGTTCATATCGACTGCGTGTATATTTTGTTTATTTAAAGGCTGCAAAGTACTAAGGTTAAAAGAAAGAAAATAAATACATACATATGTACATATGCTTATTTATTATTATTATTATGTCTTATTAGGTATTATTAGGTCTCTCCATTTTAAGAGAAACAAGCAAAGCAGCACGAAGTCAGGCCCAGAGAGACAGAAAAACCGATCCACATCGACAGTCCTCGGTCGTATTGAATGAGCTTTATATGAGCTTTGAATCTGACGCTTTCAACGCGTTCTCTCACCCACGCGCGTACATCAATACAACAGGCTTCTCACCCAAGAACAAATACAACTAAGCCAAATGGGAGAGCGCTCTCTTAGAATTGCATTAAATGAAGTTCATTTCGAATCTCTAACCGAGCTCTTTCCGTCATTTAATTTTTTCTACTGGGCTGTCCAGACGTACCCTTTTAAATTTTTCGCATAGCGACCAGGAGGCAGACATGATCCGATTTGAGGGGACTACAAGATATGTAGTGATTGCAGTAAATGCAATCGTGATCCTACTTATTATCTCAGCTCTTATATTTGCCCATAAACTTGGATAAAAGTAAGTATTGTACAAACGTTTATGTATATACATATGTACATATATTGTACATACATATATTGTAATGCCTCGAAAGCTGATGCAATTTGTATACATTTCAGTGGCTGATGTTCCATCGATGGATATAAAAGCATTAACATATATATGTTGTATGCAATGGATATAAAATAAAAATATTATTAAATCAAAACTTTGTGTTTGTATTGTGACGATTATTGGCAGTAGTTTCTGGTTTATGACTAATGTAATCTAAATCTCATACACATGGTTTTGGGTTTTGTCGATCGTGAGTGGTAGAAGAGAGCTTCATTTTCTTTTCGTTTCTCTCTTGATTTGCTCGCTTTGTATTTGTTCGCTTTGCCTTTGTTACAATTGTGCACAAAAGAGTGAGAATCGAAAGTTCAGTGAATTAGTGAAAAATTATGATCTATTATTATCAGGTATTATTATTATTTTATATTATTTTCAATTTTCCGACTTAAGTCCAATCGAAAACTGGTGGGGAGATTTATGAAGCGGAATTACCTAAGTTTTCATTTTCAAATAATCAAAAATTATAGGAGGGCGAGACACCTATAGGAACCTGACAGACGCTTATTAAAAGTATGCCAAAAATACTTAAAAGGTGGATACAAAAAAATTAATAATAATCAGTTAACAAACTGTTTTCATAACAATATTTGAAGTGTACCTATTATTTTGATCAGCCTGACATTGACTTTGAAGTAAAATTGGATCTATTCTCTTTTATAGAATTATCTTTTATCAATTATAATCAAGTGTATCTTATTGAAAACAAATGCTTAAAGAATAGGTGAGAGCTAGTTATAGGTTTAAAATATTGAATAAAAGCGTTTTCTGTTGTGTTAAAGTTTTCCTAGATGCATGTACCTAATAATCAGGTGTGTACATATATGTATGTGTGCATGTTTTTTTGCACATAAAAAGACTTTGTCTATGGGTATTTATAGAGCTAAACGCCACTGCTGGTTTGGAGAACTCTTCAAAATTCAATCCGAATGCGATCATGTGTGGGGCAGTAGAGAGCCGCGGCTCTTTGAACGTTAATTAAAATGCATCAATTTATTGCTGGGCGATGTGCGTGCAATAATAACCATTTAATAAATATGCTCAATCAATGCCTCCCCCTCGCTGTCTGTACCCCTCTCTCTCGCTCTGCGCGCTCCAAATAATGAAAAGAATTGCGGGTAAAAAAATACATATTTGCTTAATTAAAGTAATTATGGTTTCATATTTCATGCAGCGCCGACCTGTAGCTGCTCGAGCCTGAAAAGGGGATGGCCAGGGGATGGACAGTGGCTAGGCAGGGTGTTCGGTAATTACATTTTGTCATAAATTTAACATTTATTTTAAAATGTCATTAAGTACTTAACATGCGGTCTCTTTCTTACTCGGGCTGCCGCTCTGATGCCTGCTGCATTGTGTGGTTGGTTCTTACTGGTATGCATTTTCCTCGAGGTTTTGGCATCATTCAAGTGGCCAAAAGACAAACAAATGAACATTAGCCGGAGATCTACAAATTTACATATGTCTCTGACTGTGTGTGTGTGTGCGTGTGTGGGTGTGTGCATTGGCAGATGAATGTGCTATGCAACAAAAGGAGGAATAACAAAAAAAGAAAGAAAAAGAAGCAAGAAAAGACTGTAGAGCATCAGAGTGAAGTACAGACGGAAGTACGGCTTCGGAGGCCGAAGCTTTTAATACTCTCACAGCAATTAAAAGTTTTTTTTTTTCACTGATCGTTCCTACTGCACTAACATGCTGATTGATGCTGGTCAATGTTGGGTCAACGGGGTCGAAAATGCTTCCTTCTTTGCAGTGCGAATAGTATCTGGGTATGGGCAAAATACCCTCTGAAAGGGAATAAGAGTGGAATTTGGAATGTGACAGGGGAATCCAGCACCGAAATGAATAATGTGAATACGCCAAGTGTACAAAGTTTTAATTGTTATCATGTTTTGTTTGAGCGCTACTCTCCCTCTCTCCCCGTCTGCCTGTCTCTCTACCTCTCTCTCTCTCTCTCTCTCTCTCTGTTTCTCCCACTTCCCAACTCTTCCTCTCTAACTGTAATCTCTCCCTCTCCTTCGTTCTTAGTCAAAATGTATCCATTTACGCTTGGCCAAGTTTTAGGTTGCGCATACGACACGTTGGACTCGAATTGTGTCGTGTCTGGCGTTGGCTGAGTGGCTTGCGGCTGCCTCAAAGTTTCCATTTTGCATATGTGCCTGCAGGCGCCACTTGCATTCTCAAAAGCACCCTCCCCCCGCACCCCTTCAAATTGTCACAGTGTAATCCAAATTGTATTCTTAAATCAGTCGCTTTTATCTGGGGATTTGATGCAAGATCGAGTGGAAGATTTTCCTGCTAAATTTCAAGTTTATTTCTCAGGCGTATGATTTTTAGACTTTAAAGAAGGTCTGCACCATCAGCTAATTGCGGATAAAATCCAATATCCATCTCCATATAATATTTGAGATTTAAAAATGCCTGACATCGGGATTTGTACATAATGATCGGAGGATTTGCAATATATGCATATGGAGCTAACATGGTCGTTAATTGAGGTGTTTAGGGAGCCAGGTTTATTTTCTCCCACCTGCTGGCTAGACTTCAGCTTCCGAAATCCCACCTCCTGGCCGGGGAGCCTGCCCGCCGCCAGTATCTTAAAGGTATCACGGATAGAGTAAAATTTAATTTGTATTCCCCTCGACTCAGATGCAATTTTCCATTATTGATGTATTAATAATTTGTAATATTTCTTGGAGTATTCCATCTTTTATTAGTGGCATGAATTTAAACGTTTCCCTTTGAACATTTGAGGAATTTATTGGCATTAAAGTTTAAGGTTATTTCACCTTGCAGTTGATTTGCATAAATATTTCAACTTGTTTAGTTGTTCCGTCTTTGGGCCGTCTCTGTCCGGAATCTGACTTTTACCAAGAAAATCTTTCATTCTGTGGCTTTTGCCGTATTTATTTGGCACAAATTTTAAGTGATTTATGCTGGCCACAATTGGCTCTAGCCCCATCCCATAACTACGCACAGAGCTATGAAAAATTCACACAGATATCCAAATTCTACAAAAATATGTACATACATATATACATACATACATATGTATATGTATGAACATATATCTGCCATACATGTGAGGGGGGGTGGTGGTGGGGGTGTGGTATCTGAATCTCTATCTTGGGGCATGCATATTTATTTGCCAACATTTACTTATGCTGCATTTGAAGCAATTTTGTTTACTGAACTCAAATGCAGATCCAAAGTGTCCAGTGTGTGTGTGCGTGCCACACAAAGTTGCCGGCTATAGATTTTCCAGCAAATTGTGTTGCCATAAGGATGCACATGATACAATATACTCGTTGATGTACATACATATATGTACATGCATGTATGTATGTATGAGCAGAATACTTGAATGTTTGGGGGGGACTCGGCTTACTTGAGCACTTATTTATTTGATAATAATTTCGGTTTGTTTCTCTTTAGAAACAACTATTTGTGGAACCGTAGAGCAGCCAACTCTTTTGTCTAAATAAATAATCAAAATGTCATAACAAGTTGTAGGTAGTCGTATCTCATCTGCCCGGCATGTATCGGCCATGTTTATGCAAATTCCATTTGGCCCATCCCTCGGTGGTTCCTTGAGGCGCAGCTTGGCTCTGGCCTGCTCCTGATTACGCACTCGGCCATCCATCGCCCATCGCCCATCAAGCATCGTGCCGCAGCTCAGCTCCCCCCGGATGATGCATCAGTGCAATATAAATATTTTACATAGATTTTACATAGCTGATTGAAGTACATGTGCATATGCTAACCACTGCCTCAGCCCACAACGGCGCATCCCTGCTCGAACCACTCGCATGGCTCATGCTGTGAAATTATCCTTTGTATGGAAATCATATCATATCAAATTTAAAGTGCCTCCTCACTCGGCACAGTGGGCTGATATTTCGGACTGGTTCGCTTTCAAATGGAATGCTGCAAGGCTTATGGCCCTATTGAACAAAAAAACGTACCATTCCATTTGGTTTGCTATGGGGCAGGTACTTTAATGCTGATTTAATGGTTTGATTAATATCTTCCTCATTCAATGATGCTTTGACTGCGTTGGCCAATGTAAGCCAATGAATATTTTAATTTTTGTGCAGCTTCCAGTCTTTGGATCTTGCGATGGGTGTGCCGCGAGCTCTGCCAGATCCAACTGGAAACCACTTTCGAAACAGTCCCATAGTAGCGGCCCATGGCGCACGGCGATCAGAAATACGAGTATGCTAATGTAGCGCTTTTGCTCTGGTTCTGGTTCTGGTTCTGGCTCGGCATTTGCATTTGCATTGGGAAGACGTAAGCCTAATTGAACCAGCTGTGATTGGAATGGTCCTCAAGTGGGTGGCTGTGGGTCCGTGTTTTGGGGCTAGTGAGTGGCTGTAAGGGGAGGTGGGGGGATGGTGGTTTGACCTACCACCCCATGAACGCTTCGGGTGGCTGTGGGAAAGTGCTGCTGGCGGTGGAGCAATTAATAGCTAATTTAGAGCCGATGTTAAAAAGGCAACATTATTTATGATTATTTGTTTATTGCTTGCGGGTCGTTTGCCCCCCTCTTTCCACCTGATGAAATTAACACCCTGACCCGCACCTCCCACCTCCCACATTTCACATTACACACCCTCACACCCTTAGCCCACATACCCCACACAGACCCCACAGCTACACACTCACACAAGTGCAGAGGAAAGCCGCTGGCAGCATTTAGCTGCAATAGACAGCCATTTTGTGGCGTTGCCTCGGCGATAAAGTAATAGCTCCTATTTGGGTTTATGACACACACATACACACGCACACACACAGAAGCTCTACATGTGTTTTTGGAAAATTTCTATGCTTCCGGCAGGACACAGACACAAACACAGGCACAGACGCTGGGCTTTGTAGTCTTTCAGGCAAGACAGAAGCCGAAACAGAAGCCAAAGGCAAACGGAAAGCTGCAAAACAGAGAGTAAAACAGAGGTGGATGGTGAGGGGTGGGAGGAGGAAAGAGGGAAGAGGGAAGGGTAGAGAGGTGGGTTGTGTTGAGGAGCGGCGTCATTTTGTCTGCGGTTAGATGCGCGTACGTTTTCATGTTTTGTTCGCATTTCTTTTTGTTTGTTTTCCCCCACTTTTTTTCTGCCCATTAATCGTAGATTCCGAGGATATATTGGATTCGTGTGTGTGTATGGAACAGACAATAAGGACAGGACTCTCATTAAGAGAATCCTCCATGTCTGTGAGATCTCTCGCGCACAAAAAGATGAGAGGGAGACCAAAGTGCAATGCAGATCGCATTCACAATAATAGGAAATTTAAACAAAATCGTAATGTTTCTTTGTTTGTGTGACTATTGAAAATCGACTCAGAGGGTATCTTTGGACTCGAATCTCCATTTTTTTGGCCCAACTGTGGTCCTTTTTTTTTGCACGCTTACAGCGGTTTTTTCGTGTTGGCTTTCGGCTGTTGCGCTGCCGTGTGCTCACTGTACGGTGTTCGCCGCTGTTGCGGTTGCAGCACGTCTGAACGTGTTTATGGCGCGCATATCCGCAAATATGCAATCAGACTATAATCTACTTAATGTCTTTTTCACCAGCCACAGCAGCAGGAGCAGCAGCAGGAGCAGCAACAACAACATCTAGGGGAAGTGGGTGGGTCCGGTGTACATACTCGTACTCGTAAAAAATGCGCATTGTGAATGAAGTAATGCAGTTTGCCATATTCCCGGACCCCATGAGTGCGTGCGTGCGTGCGTGCATGCCGGTACACGACACGGCACATTAACTGAAATTGGGCTGTCATTTGGTAAGCATTTTCGCATTAGCTTCAAAAATTTGTTAAAAGTGAGTGTTTTTCCTCGAGTTTCTTCTTGTTTTTTCATTATTATTTTTTTGTTGCCTACTTTTTGGGGCCAACGATGCGTGCCTTGCTTTGAAGTCGTCAACAGGGAAATGTGGCCAGACTAACTCTGCGGCAATGTCTATGAGTAGAGGAAGAGTAGGCAAGTCAGTGGACTCAAAGGAAAAACATTTTTATCAGTATCTAACAATTATATGTATCAGTATTCAATACTTTTGCGGCTTCATTGTTAATTTAATATGCATTTTATTTGTATTTTCAATGCATGGTTATGTTTTTTGGTCAATATAGTTATAATTTTCCTCGAATATTTCCAAGCTTCGGCCACTTGGTGGTTCAGCCATTGCATATCAACGTCCAAATTATAATAGCAAACATTCTACCCCAGGATATTCATAATGTTTTACAGAGGAAATCACATTATTTCCATTTATAAACATTGATTGAAGGCAACTCTTTATACAGTATTCCAGAGGGAATATTGCCACCTTGATCTAGTCACATTGTGGCATACATATGCATTTATAATTTTCCGCTGTCAACAGTTCGTATCTTCTACTTAAGTTCCCTCGTTTGGCTTGAATTTGCACAACCTTTTAGCTAATTTTAAAGACGAGCGTTAACACAAAAGCCTGCAGGACAACAGCAACAACACAACAGGGAAATGGTAAAAACAAAGGCACTGGCAAAATATTTTGCTGTAGACAACATTAGATATTGTTTAGAGCTGTAGAGACATTGACTGGCATTTGAACGAGTACGGGTACGAGTGCCCTTGCAAAGGGTATTAGTATACAGATGTGATCTATTCTCTATGATCTCGCAGATCATTCTAGATCAGGACTAGTCCCGCAATTATAAAAATATCTGGCTTAAATGTTGCACGAATCCTGTAAGAATAGTCTGTCGCTGGAACGATAGACCTGCAAGAGTATATAAAACTTCGGTGCCTAAAAGTGGCCTGTATATCTTGTGTTGGTTTTAGTTTTAGATGCTGCTGTTGCCGCTTTCTGTTGCCGTTTTCTGTAGCTGGTCTCTGTTTCTGTTTAGGTGCCGTTTCTGTTTCTGTTTCTGTTCTTGTTTCTGCTTCAGTTTCTGTTTTTGTTGGCTTGGCCGAGGACTGCTTGGAGTCCCGGCCAGAGCTCTGTCGCCGACTTGCTTGTTATTGTTTGGCTTGGCGCACAATGCGGCCATAAAAAGCCAGCCCACCTCTGCCTCTGCCTCTGCCTCCGCCTCCGTCTCCTGACCGAGTCGCAAGGAAGTGCGCGGGGGCAACAAAAGGCGCCCGCACCGAACAACAATTGAAACAATAAAACGGCTTTAAGGCCGCACTGCACTCCGCTGGAAGCGGCCACAGAGCGGAGTTGATAAAAGCAATTATAGAGCACAGAGTCCTGGTGCTGACAGCTGCAGCTTAAGACTAAATTTTACTCAAGCTTTAAATTGAAATCATCTATTACATATTGGCGGCGATCCATGGGCAGCGGGTGATCTATGCTCTTTATTTGGGGTTGTACAGTTTCTTGACGGTCTCGTCGGAGATGTCGATGCCCAACTTGTAGTAGCCGGCGCGCCTCAGTTGGCGCTCATCCTCCTCGGCCACGTGGTAGATATCCTCGATGGGCAGCATAATCTCCGACTCGCTGGGCAGGATGAGTTTGCGGGCGTCCTTGCGGAAGACGGCCACCGCCTTGGCCATGCTGCTGTGGGCCCGTGTATAGTCTTGCAAGCAGAGGCTCTGCCGCCTGTTGGACAGCCCGCCCTGGATGCGGTCAAGGCGCGCAATCAGCCGCAGAAGAATGTAGCGGGCGTAGCGGTCCTTGATCTCCAGCAGCGTCATCTCGACATCATCTCGCTCCAGGGCCGGGCACAGATAAACGGTCAGCAGGACGAACACGTATACGCCATTGATCGCGAATATGACGCATATCATACCCAGCTGAAAGGTGTCGATTTCCTTCGAAAAGGACTCCGCCACGTTCTTCCAGTACATCAGGTCGAGGCTGTGGATCCGTAGGTGGTAGTGCAGGTAGGCCGTCACGACGGCCCCCGCACTGGTGTAGACGGCGATGCACGGATAATTGTAGGAGAAGAAATTGACGCACTGCCGCCAGAGCCCTTTCCAGAGATCCATCCTGCGCCTTATAGTCAGAGGAAACCGTTGGATTGTGTTTATTTTTTCCTAGCGGTTTGTTTTTGTTTAATTTTGAATTAGGCTTTCCGAATGATTGAGTCAAACTCTGAGTATTTCTGTTTGGACTACTCCGATTTGCTTGGGCGTCGTATAAGAGTTTTTGTTTGCTTGTTTCGGTCGCTCCCCTGCAACTACATGTTGAATCCTCCCCCGTTGTGGATGTCGAGTCTTCCCCTGTTGTGGATGTCGAACTTGTTTGAGGGTAGAAGCCAACTGGTTTGAGCTTTTTCCGCCGGGCCAGTCCTTCGAGTGCTTTGAGTCATTTTTGCCCCTGCAACCTAGGACATGTTCTGGCCGCAACCATTGGGGCTTGGTGCCGCCCACAATTGCAACTGCAACTGCAACTGCAACACCAACTTTGGTTTGGTTTTGCCTCGTGGCCGCTAACAATCACCTCTTTATGGGGGTGTTCGGGGGGATGTTCCCCTTCTGGGCCGAAAATATTCAACTTCTTGTTCAGCGACAATATTCCGCTATCTTTGCGCTAACTTTAGCTGGCACTCCCCACCCCCCCGACCGATCCGAGACGTTGATAAGCCATAAGCATGCAGTGAAAAGGGGTAGGAAAAAAAAAAATCATCATAGCATTCGAGCGAAATGCAATTTTCTTCCTCCATTTTCTGTGTTCTTTTTGGTTGCTTTGCTGCCCTCTTCTTGGTTGATTTTCGCTTCTCGTTTTGCACTTATTATTGTCTTTCTGGTCTGGTGTTTTTTTTTTTCAAAGTGCATGCAAAACTGCATTTTGTAGACAAGCCGAAAACCGAAAACTGCCAGCCAAAACGGAAATATTCAAAAATTGTTCTTGTTGCTGGAAGTGGGGGGCTGGCACTGAGCAAGTGGGTGACCGGGAGGTGGGTGGCTGGGTTGTTAGGGGTGTCCTATCTGTAGCTGTGTGTGTGTGTGCGCGCTAATAAAAACGTAAAATTTAATGGTAACGGAAGGCACTAAAAAACAGGCTCACCGACAGGACCTCCAAGTCGCTGGTCCCGGCGCTCGGGTTGTGGGGTTGTGGGGTCCTCCGGGTAGTGGGTAGTGGCAAAGGCAGTGGTCTTTGGCTGTGTGAGTAGTGGCACTGGCGATAACCAAGCAACGAACCACAACCGCACAAGGGAGTGGGAGTGGAAGTGGAAGTGGAAGTGTATGGGAAAGTGGCAGTGGTGTAGAGGGGCAGCCAGTCGATGGGCAAAACTGTAACTACGCCAACCGCCGCCGCCGACGCAGTGGAGCGCCCATCCGTGCACGTCAAACGCAGACAACTTGAAAAATGTAGAGACAGAGCCGCAGTATAGTCGAAACACGCCAAAAAATATGCAAAAGTAAAATAAAACAGACACACGGACCCCGAACACAGACACAGCGACGGACACAGCGACGGACACAGCCACGGACACGGACACGGACAGGGGGCAGACAAACGCATTTGGCCGTTGCGGAGCAGTTCGACATTCGAGGGTCGAGGCTCCGAGGTTCGACATTTGCCGTTAAAGGTTTTTCGTTGTTGCTGTTTATACGCGATGTACCCATCTCTGATACCCAGCGGGCTGTGTGGAGCCCAGGGTATCACCGCGTCCTGAATGCCACATGCCTCGTACAAACAAAATTATAAATAAAACATTTAATGAATTCGTTTGAGCTGCCCAAATCCTAATCAAGCAATTATATTCAACTAAACCCAATATGATGTGTAATCATTTCTTAAATATATATGAGAAGTATAGCGTCTGTTTGTGTGTTCTTCAATGGTAAAAACTTTATCCAAATATTTCCAAAATGTCAAAATCGACTCAGTATCCAAAAGTCGTTCTTGCTTCCCCTGGTCTTCCGAAAGTTTTTTTTTGTTTTGTTATTTGGCAGCGCATTGCACAATATTTTGCAGCAGGCAGTTTTTTTCGACTTTTTGTTGTTGTTGCAGGCTCTATAAGGGGAAGAGGTCCTGACGTTGTCCACTTGACAGGAGCAGCCAGCTCCTGTTCCTACAAGCAGAGGAGCAACAGCAGTACAGAAGTTCAGCAGCAGCAACAAACTGCAGTCGGCTCGAAGTCGAGTTGAAAAGTCAGTTGTCGCAATGTGGGGCTGTATGGGGATGGGTATGGCAATGGGGATGAGGCACAAAGTTATGTGGCTTGGCAGTTGAATTCGGGAGAGGTGTGTGTGTGTGTGTGTGTGAGTATGCATGTGAGTGTGTGGCGAAGTGGCAAAGGGCTCTAACAGCTAACTGAATGGACAGCAATTTGCGCGGCTAAACGAGTCCACAAAGGCGGCCATTGTGGGCGCTTTGCCTTTGCTCCGCCCGTCCATGCAGGACCCGCTGCATGTCCCCAACATGTCCGAGCGTGTGCGAGCGACTGTGTTTGGGTATTGGGGCGGCTGCTACTGTAATTAGGTTTGTCGCTGACCAGAGAGTCGCATCCCAGTCAAAGTCGCGGCAGCCGGCCCAAAAGTTGCTGTAAATAATTCACAATTGTGCGACGCATTCGATTTTTGCACTCTCCGGCAAAAGGAGCTCTAGAGATGGGCGATATACGACGATGGGGTACGATGGGGCGGCGTTGGCGGAAATGTTTGCCTGGTTTACAGTGCAGTGCATAAATTTGAAATTGCACGCATACCCCCAACGATACACAGAAACTCATACACACTCAATGGTGCGTGCATTTCCGATGGGGGTGTGGCAGAGGGTGTCAAATTAGGCGTACCCCTAGCACTGTTCCGCCACGCTCCTCCTCCTCCACCTCCCCCGCCGTGGCCCAAAAGCCCGACAACAAATTTTTGTAGCTAACAGCATTTTCAAGTTTTATCGCTGCGTGGCGTTGGGCTTTAGAGGGGCTGTGGGTGGGTGGCTGGTGTCCTTGGCACAGCCATTGTATTATGCTTGGTCTGTCGATCGGTCTGTTGGTTGGTCGGTCGGTTGGTCGGTCTTTCTGGCGCACGCACAGCGGCAAATGCGAGCACGGACCTTGCCTAGCCTTGTCTATTTAGCCGCCTGCATACAAAATGCACATAAATTGTCATGTTTCAAGAGCGAATGAGACCAATGGCAGAGGCAAAAGAGAGAGAGGGAGAGAGCCAGAAGGGTGGGAGGCACTCCATGGCCATGTGCCTAGCATATTTATATTGATTTTCGCGCCTGGGATTGGCACTTTTTGGGGCGGCGCGGGGCTCCTGGTCCTGCGTTTGGCCACCAGCTTGTTGTTATGTACTTTGGCTTTTCAATTTCGGCTCGTTTTCCTCGTTTGCTCTGCTTCCGCTTTCCTCTGGCATGCCCCCTTACCCTGCACACAAACACACACACACACACACACACTTCTTTTTTTATTGTGTTTTGTGGGTGCACAATAAATTGAGCCGAAATTGCATCAGCAAAATTAACAGTTTCAGTGTACGTTAATAGACTTTTGCCGAGGTCCAGTCACGACCGCAGAATGGACAGATCTCTGCGGGATTGGGAATGCGCATGGACCTGGGGCCGAGACTCAGGGAGTCGGTGTGTGGGTGTGGCACTGGGACATTTCGCCCATTAGGTTGGGTCATTTTAATTATGGCCAAAAGAGAGTCTGTTGCTGTTTAAAACGAAATTCTCCCCCGATGGGACACTAAAGCGCTTAGAGGTGAGAGCACTTTTCAATTAGATTATCAGAGGCGCAGTCACAGTCATTTAAGAAATAAAGATGGACTTTAAATATTCATATGCAGGCTGTCGGAAAGTGTCGGATATATATTCTTTTTTTAGAAGATATTTTACGTAAGGTAGAAGGTAATCATTGAAATGATTCAATGGTCTGCGGTTAGTAAAGTCGGGGGGGCTTTTCACCGAGCTCTGAAGTATGACTGAACCTTTCCTTCAACCAAAAACTCACCCCAAATGAAAAGCTTCAGCTGTAATTTTTTTAAAAAATTTCTGCAGGTAAAAACATCCAAGGGAAAGTGCGATGATCTCCGGTGAATTCTCTTTATGGCGCAAAAATATTTCGGGGGTTGCAAAACGCAAGCACTCAAAATATATTCGAGCTTTAAACTCAAATGGAAATATTAATCATTCGAATTGGATAGAGCCATACACATAAAATATGCACCCATTGTTCTCGATGCAGTTTGGCTCATTAGGTCGCTGGGATTTGGCTCTTTTGGGTCCCCGGACACTTCCGCCAGGACCTGCAACATTTTGCATGGGTAATTAATCTGGCGGGAGAGCCAGTTGATCCCCGTCCTACTTGGGCACTAGGGCACATTACGGGTAAAAGTGTGGACTGTGGAGTGTGGAGGGAGCGCTTGGCAATTTCTGAAATTTTAATATGCCAAAACGAACTAACAATAAGCAAACCACTTAGTTAGTTCTCACAGCCATGGCTAATTTGCTTTGTTCAGCTGCTGCTGCTGCTGCTTCTGCTGCTGGTGCTGCTCCTGCACTCGCATTTGCAGCTGGAAAATGGAAATGAAGTTTCCCTTCGGTGCTCTGGTAGTCAAAGCTAGTGCAGGGCTGTCGGGTGAATGGAAGTTTTGGTAGCCACTTGAAATATGCAAAATTTGTAATAACCTCAAGAAGGAAGTGCCACGAGATTGAGATTGCGGACGACAGGCAGGACTGTGGCAGGGCAGGGCAGGGCAGGGCAGGGGAGGGCAACGGCAACCAACACACGCAATCGGCAACGTGTCGCATTTGTAGTTAGACATAATTGTTAATTACCCGAAACCATTACCACATTAAAGGCCATAAAATGCAACACTAATTGCTTTATGCCACCTCGTCGAGTCAGGGCACTGCACTGAGGGAAATTGTGGGTATGAACTAGAAATAATTTCCATCTTAATATTGCCAGCTGTAATATTTTATATCCGTTCCATTTAATTCTTATCTTTATAAAAGTATAGAAATCCACTTACTTTTCAGAATACATTTCTCTCAGTGCTATTGGCCCATTCAGTAGGAGGCGAACATTTTGTATTTGATTATGCAGCCAATGCTCCTTTGTCCTGGTTCTGCTTCTGGTCTC